CACACGCATGCATTTCCACCGGCGACCTTCACATTGAGTTTCGGCTAAGCAAAAATTCTTTATTTTGATTCTTGGCAGCGTCCAACGAATCTGCTTACTCATTTGTTGACTCTCGCAATTTGGTGCATATAGAATTATAATTAGTCTTGTACTCTATATTTGCACTAAGCATGTTTTTAGATCGTTTAGATCTACTTTGTTTAAGGAACTTTATAATCTTGAGATAGTGAAGAGTGATGATAATAAAAGAATTCCTTATTCTGACGACCTTGGCCTACAAGACCCATTTCCTCAAGGCTCCATGGCAACAAATTCAATAAAAGTGCATAACATATTGAGTTTTATTAAACAAACTTGGCCCATACCTTGTCAATGCAATTTAAATTTATACGAACATCTTAATTGGGAACGGTATAAAAAAGAGTATATGTTTTTTTTCCCCCATTTATTGAATTTTCACTTTAAAAATCAAATCTATATTGATTATATTTTTGTTTTTGCTTGAAAAGTATGTCACTTATCGATTCAATTTGGTAGGCAATGAACTCAAGTATTAATTGGGACTTTTTTGCATTAAGTTAGCTTATTTCCTCAATGACGGAAATGTATGTTGCCAATTTCTGGAGCTTACAGTACTTACGAAATGCTAAAAGTGATTTACTTTCATTTCTGGTGTTGAGTTATGCGGAAGTTAATTAAATAAAAATAAAAAAATCAAATATAACAGATTCGTAATACCAAGTTCAATTGTTCTAGTTTTACTGTTGAAATATATTGTAGATTGACAGGGAGTAATTGCCAGTTTGTTATTATTCTGTCTTTTAAATACCATCTGTTTTGTGTTTGTTGACAAGCTGATTTATTAATATTTTTGTTTGTTAAAATAACATGCTTAGGTTTTTAGTTATGCATTATTTTTTGCTACTTTTTTGCGCCTTTTTAAGATATTTGTGGATTATCTAAATTAATTTTTTTTAATTGCCATTTTAATAATAATGAATTTATTTAACTTTTGTTGATTAATTGCACATATTAAATGTTTATAGATTGTTATTGTGATTTTTGCAATTAGTTATGCTTATGCTGGGTTTTTTTGTTTTTCAATTTTAATTTATATTTATGGGATTGCTAATTTAAATGCGAATAAACTAATTAGGAGTCGAATGACGCAAATTCGGTTGTTTATCCCAAAACGAAACCGGATAAGCTTTCACCACGGTAATTAAATCTACTCCTTGCTGAAAAATCCGAGGCATCGTAAATCATGAGGGAGCATTGTGCGCTCTTCGTACATAAAAGTGAAAACTGTCATCAAATACGATTAACAATTGTACTAACGAATCGGATAGCCTTTTGGGCGCGGGGAAGAGTGGGGCAGGTTCCTCCTATTGAGGGGTCTCCTGGCGTGTAAAGGAACTCGGAACTTGACATCGGTGCGGACGTTGTCTTCGGGGGTCTTCAGGGGGGCAGCTCTATTTATAGGACTGCTCAAGGACGGCAAAATATACAGAGACAGAGGTTGCCTTAATTTATAAGCACGCAAATCGCGTGTGCCATAGTGATATATACTTATATGAATTTTCATGAACGCAAAGTTTGGGAAATGCATACAAAGGCCAAAAATTTCTATGACTCAGCGATTCTTTGATTTCCTTCTTTTATGCTCAAAGTTAAAAGGAAATTGCGTTCATTATTTACTTGTTGTTTTTGTGGGCTTCCATATTTTGATAACCAAACAATTACTTATGGTTTCTTTTGGTCGGTCAATTTGATGATGTTTTTTTCTGTAAACAAAAATGTCCCATTTAAAGGGAATTGAAAAACAAGTGAAGCGAAACGCGAAATACATTGTAAGTGCAAAAGTTAAAATTAGCGAATTTTATTTTTGTCATTAATCTTTTTCAATTAGGACCGGAAATGTTCGTTTTATTAGCACAACGTATGCGGTATTTGCGCAACGTATTCCCAATATTCAGATTAAAGCGGTTTCTATGATAAGTGAAATTGGAAGGTTAAATAAGATTTATAAGGTGATGATTAATGACTTTTTGACACACTACGGCTTGTTATTAAATTACAGGTGCGGAGAAAGTTGCCAATGTAAATTTATTACAGTAACTGCCAACCGCTTCCAATTAAGTGACTGTATTGTGAAAAATTGATATCAAAGCCGGGGAAAATCCCCGACCTGCATCACATGACGTATACGTCATTTTTCACACACTTCATTGATTTAACAAGTCGGTATCCTGTACCTTTTCAAAATTTATGCTCGGTTTGAGTGAGATGTCAAGCTGTTTTATGGTCTCGTGTTGTTCAAAAATTTCATATTTACGCTTCAGAAAGCATTTATATCGCCAGCTCACATCATTATTCAATGTCAGGTTGGAGTCTTCTGAGTGAAGCAAACAAGGATGACAGAACCGAACTAGAAACACTTTGCAGTCTCTTTGCATTATTTAACACTTACTTGTGGACGTCGGGGGGTATTCCTGTAAATGTAAGTATAATATGACAAGCTTTGGGGTGGCATATTGTGAAATATTGGTCATGATATGCCTAGGGAGTATTAACAGGCAGACGGGACTTTGTCAGCTGGCAGCTGAGCAAATCCATTGTAGCTGTTAATAATTAAATGCGCCAGCATAAATGATCGAAGCCCCTAAAAGCCAAGGTAATTGTAATTACTGAAATAATACCTAACATCACGAGTGGATATAATACAGAGTGATTCACTTAGCCGGAATTATTATATCAATAAAATTATCAAACTCATTAGCATGAAAGCTAAAAAAGTTTTTGCAAAGTCGAGGGGAATTTTCCCTTTCTTCATGTTTTTAGCATTTCTGTGAAAGTTCAAGGAACTTAGTGCCGTGAAAAATGAAGCTTCTGATGTGTATTTTGCACTGATGTAAATCGTAGCCTGTTAGTGGGGCTTAAATGTCTGTCAACACAAAGAACCAAGGTCCTGGTAAACTCCTTTCTCCTGAGAAGCACACAAAGGACACTGCAATTTCTAAGGCCGACAATAATGGCAGTGGGAAAGGACAACTTTCTTTACTCAAATACGAGAATTTGCCGGCGCCGGCACTAAAAATCAATATCTGGAATGAGGAGATGGGGAGTTGCACAGAGGAAAAACAACAAGTAATTGCCAACCCAAGCCAACACTAAATCAGTGTGCATATTTATATAACTAAGCTAATTGCTTAATTGTTAAATTTTTTTTCGTCTTGCCGTTATGGTTTTTTGGTCAAATTATACTTTTTCAGGTTCCTGCTACCTAAGCTATTATTATTAAAAACTTTGTACACAATGTGGACTGTACAAATAACAATTTGTTTTAGTGATTTTGTGATAACTTAATTTTTAATAATTTCATTTGGTTAAAATACATTGCTAAAATGCATAAAACATAAACACTTCATTCCGTAACATTTTCAATAAAAAGGTAAACAAATAAACAAGCGAACTCTTCAAAAGTTATATTAATAACAACTTTGATATTGTTTTTTTTACACTGCGAGGGTTTGACCACGGGGCGTATGGGTAATGCGGCAAACCACAAACCCTCAAATGGAAGAGCATGACAGCTCCGAATGCTTTTTTAATTATGAAACTAATAAAGACAAGTAGAACTGGCAAGGCACTAATTGACTTACCCAATGATGCCAACTGGGGCAAGACCCGCCGCAGTCCTTGATTACGAGCTTCCAGTTGCCAGGACAACAGTTGTGGGAACTACAGAACGAGTATATCCAAGGGCAACGCCGCCAAGACCCACAGCGCCTTGGGGCAAAAAACGAATGCACTGCCGGGGACCAACTTAAATTTCGAGCCCGGCATCGCGTCCTTCGTCCTGCGATGTTGATACTGCCAATCCGCGATGTAAACTGAAGCCAAAAGCCCGCAACAGGAGTGAAAACCGCTCGCTCAGCCTCTGCTCTGCACTGTGGAAAACGAGGCAAGCGAATGAAAATGTACGCGAGCTGTGTTTTCACGACACTGCCATGTGCGCGTGGCGGGCGGTCAAAATCAGCTGAGAGCGCGCACGCTTTTCTCGAGTGACGTCACTCATGGCTCGACTCATGCGCGGCCAGAGCGAGCAGGAGCGATTCGCGAGCGAGATACTCAGATATGCGGCTGCCCGCACACTCAGATACTCGTATCTGTATCTTGAGGAAGTCGCCTGCTGTGGCGCCGAGAATGCTTGGCCTAAATGCATGCTTGTTGCGCCACTTGGAACCCCCATTTACACCTTAGGTGGCAACAAGGGGGGGTTGTTCGCTCGACCAGGGCTGGCTGATGGCGTCACAAAGCGCTACGCTCCACACAGTCGGGCACATCAATCTCATGAAGAATGTTATATGGTTAAGTATAATAAAATATAAAATTATGAAACACAATAATTCATATGGTTAAACTTAAAAGTTTGAGTATGCCATTTTCTAATATGTACATATCTGAAATGTATTATTTAAACAGTGAATTAATTTGTTTTGTTTCTCTAAGGGGGAGGGTGTTTTAAAAAAATGTTTGTTTACATTTTTTCTTTTAATTTTTTTCTGAATGGCCAATATGTCGAGAACATTGTGTAAATATTTTGAGTCAATTTAGGTCAAACTAACGGAGTTACAGCGTTTAAAACAACCGCATTTGAACGAATTTTCACGTATAAAAATACTTTGAATCGATTTTGCCGAAGACGCTATTTTGAAAGTCGGTGAACATCAGAACTCGAAATCTACTGAATCGATCCTTTTCAAATTTTTAACACAAATTCTCAACATAAATACGCAGGTAATCAGAGCTTTTTTTAATTTTCAATTTTTTTCTATTTTTAAAAACACCCTAAAAAACATTTTTTTTTTAATTTTTAATAGTCAACGTGCAATTAATAAGCCAACCCCAAATAAATAGGTAAATCTGCAATTTATAAGCAAATCTCACAATTAAAATGATTTATAAAATATTGCACTGTTAAATAAAAAAAACAAATATTACGACTACACTAAACATCATAAATTATATATTTTGAATATATTTCTTGTACACCAATATTGAACTATTTATTTATTATTTAAAGTCAACATTAAATAGAGATTTCAGTATATCAACATGAATACAAAATTCAATAAATACATTTATACATGTTATTCTATCTTAAATAAATATATTGATTTGAGTCATGTGAGAGCCTGAGTTTTTTTTAAATGAGTGAGTTTTTTTAAATGAGTGAGAGTTGTCTGTATGGAGATTACTTTTTACAGCTTAAGATATTAAAGAGTTCTTCACAATATGCTAGTTGTGCTCATTTCTATATTGGCACTCACTTGGTTCGATAATACACATATTCATTTTCATTATTTATGTGTTATAGAAAATCGTAAACTAGATAACAATTATGTTGTTTTAATAAAACAAACGAAGCATGAGTAAAGCTTGTAACCAAATTGCAAACCAATTGCAAAAATAATTAAATTTAAAAACGCATAACTAACCCCTAATTAAGTGTCTGAAAGGAACATGTGTAAAACAATGAATCACTTTAACGAACTTTTAACTTAAACACTGAGATTTTTGTGCACTTCGTCTAAACAATCTGCACCAGAGATTCCAGTGGTCTGGTTTTCGCCATGTATAATAGCATCCATTTCTATCTGGGTAAGGTTTTCAGTTAACAGCTTTTCAATGTTGATAAACTTGGCATTTGGTTCTTGAATGGAGGCAGCATCCATGTCTTGGTCAACTGGCGTCTGAAGAACTGAACTGCATCGCTTGGCTCGCTCTGAAAAATGTACAATATCGATTACAAAAAGAATATTAAATATATGTAAATTAAAAACATACCGAAGCGAGCCCGGTGGGCCTCCTGATCAATGATGATTTCGTTAGTCACATAGATTTCGCGTCGGATTTGGTCCCGCAGCTCCACGCTCATGTCAGGAATGCACCAACGCACAAGAATCATCACCAGTGCCACAAAGTTCTGCAATCAAAAGGCAACCAGTCAATGTTGAGGTTGTGCTTCCCACTAATTTATGTACAGTATTGCATCACTTCATGCCCCTGATTTACAATATTTTTCTGAGACGCTGCTAGTTTGGGGTCAACAGAAGCCTACGGAATGCCAACTTTCCACCCAAGTTGCGGTAATTGCAACTGGCTAAATGCAGCTTAGACAGGTGTTAGCCTCAACCCCAATATTTGGGGTATTGGGAACAAATTCGTTAAGTTCGATTTGAAAAAGAAACCCTTTAGAAAGAAACCGGCCCAGCAACACACCACAGAACAAACATGCAACACATGCAACATACTTGGCTAAATGGACTTTGGATATTGCAGCATGGGAAAAACAGAAAGCCGAGAAAACGAAAGATAGATGAATAGAACAAAACGACAACTAAATGGATAATTGGCCCTAGTTCTACTTCGAGTCAAAAACTTTAGTTAGTTGCTTTGAACACCTCGTGGCAAACAGACGTTTCTAATCAAATTTGAATATAAAAAAAAAACCAACTAGTTACAAAAATTTTTAAGGATATTTAAAAACCTTAAAAAGGATACAACCTTACTTAATACTGCTAATTAATAAAAAGTCAAGACATCAATAGCGGAATAATTAAATTGAATAAATCGGAATAACACTTAATTACTCAACTTTTTATAATCTTGTTCAAAATGAAGTATTTTGAATTTTTGAGCCTCTCATCAGTAGGCCTCAGCATAGCTTGTGTAGACCTTCTTATAGCCCTTAGCATTTTGGGCCCATCGAGTTATTACCTCTACTTTGATTTTATGGATTTAGAAAGTTGGGAGCAGGATACCCAAGAAGAAACATTTACTCCCATTGTAACCTACTTTTCCACAACAGGTAAAAACAAAAAATATATTCTTTTTCTTTTCTAAATAATTTTTTCACAGTGAACTATCTGTGGGTCCGAGAGTTTTCGCATGTCTTTTACATGACAGCAACATTTATTATTTGGGTTAAGGCATTAATTAATCTATTGGTGGCCTGTCTTCTGGTCGATGGCATTAAACAGGTGAATATTTTCGAACTCTCTTATTAGAATGTGTTTCTTCTAATTATTTTTTGAACACTCTAAGAAACGACTAGTATGTATTGCTCCCTGGTTAATCAATTCCGGTTTGTCAATGGCCATTGAAACGGGAATTTTTATAAGTCTGGAACTCAGAATTGATGAGTTTGATGCCGCAGTAGACCGTCGGATAGCTAGAAGCCTGATCTTTGGCACATTTATAGGTGAGTTACTTTATGGAAAATTAAATATATGTGAGCTCTAATTTAAAACACATTTCAGTTCTCAATGCGTTATTTTCTTATGGCATATATGCTCTATATCGCAAGATAAAGTCTGCGCCAAGCGATAACATCGAAATCATTCCCCAAAGCCCTCACACATTTAACGCCTAAAACTATTTGGAATCCTCTGGCAGATGTTTAAAGATTAATCTTAAAGTCATTATCCCTTTATGTTTTGGAATAGGTAAATAAAAGTACATAACTGACTATCCAAACAATTAGAAGTGGAACCTGTTTTTAAATTTCTTTTACTCACTTCAAAAATAACAACGAAACCCAATCGGCAGGCCAAAATTATGTAAAACATGTTGCTCAAAGTGTACTTATCCGGTGATGAAGGTGGTAATCGGAAGTCTGTATATCTAAAAACGTGAAGCAATTTATTAATATTAAAGCAAATCAAAAAAATGTTATATATTTGACTCACTTGCAAGTGGTTATATTTGAGAGATCTCCAGCTAAACTGTTCAAAGTGCGCGAATCGGAGACTCTAAACTCTGATAAAGTAAAATCGAGATAGCCATCTAGAGTACCATTCTTCTTGTTTACATGATAGCGATAGACCAAGCGCGGAATCATATCTGATGTAAACGCAATGATGAAGCCCTAAAAGAAAGGTATTGTAGTTTATCATTAAATCATCAGATATAGGAGTTTTCACTTACATTTGTGATAACACTGAGCTTGCCAATGCAGTCCAGAATTCTGTACCAAACGCCTATATCTCGAACTCGTTGCGACACAGGTCGCTTATGGTGGGTCAAAAGTTTCTTGGCGTCAAGACGCATTTCCAGGATATTATTGAGGAGGGCAAAGAACGGGGCCAGTGGAAAAGCGGCCACGAAGATGGTAACAAAACCGTACTGCAAAACCATTTCCAAGTACTCGGGAAACAAGCCTCGAGCACCCCAATCCAGTAGTTTGAAATCCCGCATCCAGCGTTCGTCTTTCGTCTTGTCTGGATTTGGCGTGTTGTTAAACAGACGCGATAGGCCAACCTGAATGGCCAACACCTTGCGCCAAAACATGGGTAGATACACCTCGAGAATGGTGTTGAAAGCCTGCTTGCCCACCATTATAATGGCCAACTGGATGCACAGCTCTGTTAAACATCCCCCTGAAGAGCACTAAACATTTAAAAGGTTTAATGAACTATTTTTATTAATTACATTTTATTACTTACCTCTTCTTGGCGATAGTCAAATAGTTTGTTATACTCCCCTGGATGACCCACAAATTTTCCCTTAAAGAACGCTATGTAGAAAATGGAGGCATAGTAGTTAACAAACTGGAGTAGGTAAATTTTGAGGGTCAGAGAGTCGTCAAATTGTGTTTGAGTGCGCCACATCTCTAATTCAGTAAGGTACTCTGCCAAATGATTGTACATCTAAGAATGTAATTCAAGTTCGTTAAAACTATTTAAGAAATCAACTTAGCTCGTCAATTACTCACATAATTAAGTATATAGAGCAGGCACAAGTTCACAAAGGCTGCCGATGCAGTGGCCAGGACAATGGCACTTGAAGTAGTCATGGGATTGGCACCCAATTTAAGAGCACCCAGCATAGACATTCGGTATACCACGACTGCCAGTAGAGCCACAAATGCCAAGGCAATTAGCAGTAGCACCACTGAGAAACTGAAAACAGTTGCCGGCAACTTCATTCGCCAAAAGGGAACCGTTGGCTCTTTTATGTTGGTCACATAATCGACTCTCGTTGGCGGTATGTGCTCCAAACGGGCCAAGTATTGTGGTCTCGGATGCTCCTCGTGCACATCGAATCCCGTCAGATCCCAGCGGTGAGTAATCTCAGCGGAGTAGCGCTTCCACAGCTCCAGGAAAAGGGTGGCCCAAAAGGACATAAAAACGGCAAAGAACACAGTGCTGGGATTGTCAATGAGGTAAGTGACTTTGGCGTAGTTGCAGGTCTCTTTCAGGTCCCAAAAGTTGCACCAATCACAAAGTGGACACATCGTTATATTCGATTTAGCACCCTCACAAATATCTTTACTGAAAAAAATAACATTTAATTAGATAGCAGAAAATTTAATAAAAATTAAGGTGTACTCACACAGGCACGTAGTTCTTAAGGGAGAACCATGAGTATAGGAAACATATAACACCGACTATTGAGGCTAGCAGCAGCATGTAGGTATAGTAGCCCAGCCAGGCAAAGTACAAACCTATCAAAGATAATAAGGAGCATTAAACTTTTTCTTATTAATATCAAATTAGTGAGGCTTACCAATTTTAACACCAAAATATTCCTTGATGTCGTCCAAGGGCTGATATCGATACCATTTCGGGACCGATGCCCAATGCTTGTAAAGCAGGGCTCTCATAGTGCCCGTCTCTGTTATTTCACCCTGCGAAGAGGATAAAGGTTTGGTTTTAAAAATAAACTCTAAGGTTTATTTGTTACCCACATCATGTAATGGGTAGGCAGCTGAGTAGACTCCTTCGGCAATCAGTCGCTCGATGCCAAAGGCCATGTCATGTTGATTTTTGGCAGGAAATCTCTGACGATCCAGGATAAACTCTACGATGCGGGAACGGACGGCGGTGGTGAAGAAACAATCCTGTCGGATATCAAAGCTATAAAACAAGAAAGTAATCAATTTATATTAATATACAAATTAAAATTAGATATCAACTTTCACTCACAGATATTCCTTATCTCGACTGTAAATGGCTGTAAATCGATGCGCCCTTTTGGGAAAAACGTTTTCGTCAACGTAGATATTGCGCAGGAAGAATTGGAAAACGGTTTTGAGACTAGAAAACACGCTTTTTGTTGAGCGATTAACCACGGACATGCCAGGAATCTGAAAGAGTCAATTTGTCCCATGAAAACAGTGTCCACATAAAAGTTAGTTATTAAATTAAAGCTGGTTTGCTCTACGTTAAGTTTTTGTTTAAAATCTATAACTATTAGGCTTGGGATTATGTTTTTTTTAAAAACTCACAGCTGAAGCTGAACAAAAATAAATAATTTAATATTATGTTAAGGGGATTAATAGTAAAATATTTAACTGGATCAACGCTTTGGCCAACCTTATCGGACAGGTATTGGGCCGCATTTCGAAGTCGGTTCGATCTTTCAGATATGCGCAAATTGCATAACGACTAAAATCAAGAAATAAAATAAAATAAATTAAAACAGAAGAACAAAATCTTCAATTTTTGGGAACTGAATAATACAACATTTTTGACAGCGGCCTAAAAGTGTGCTTCAATTTTGTTTTCACTTTGATTAAAACTAGGCAACCTTACCTCCTTCATTGGCATGCGCAGCTTTAGGATCTCCGCATACCGCCGCAGGACTTCCAAAGGAGCATGGATCTGTAATAATTCAATTTTAGTTATTTCGAACATGTAAAATGAAACAACCCACCTTAACGAACCATATTTGGTCCTTCTGACTGGCCTCAACCTCCAGTCCCTGACTTACAAGATTGGCCTCGAAAACCCGCCTCTTCTCCGTATTCTCCAACTCCGTGGGCTCGTGGGCATTGATCCTGTAGGCGAGGACGAAGTCAATGGACCGGATGCAGTCTTCGAAGAACAGCGAGCTGTTGACCTCGCCCCGCTGGTAGAACTCCCTTGGACAACTGCACTCGCGATCATCGTAGACGCCGCCTCCGTTGCCCTTCACTAAATCCGGATCAGTCATTGGCAGAAGGGGCGTGGCTGGATTCGTTGGGTTGGTCCTGTCCCCAGAGGGCTTTTTGCCATTGGCCCTTGGCTCGGCAGCGTCTGGCAGTTGGAGCGTTTGGCCGTCACTAGGGAATAAACCATGGAAAACAAGGTTAGTATTTTAATATACTCAAATATATAGGTACATAAAGCTAAAGCCAAAATATATTACACATGTACTTTACAAATTTAAGCATTGTTACCTAACCACCCGGATTATACCCTAGCTTCAAACAAATATTTTAATAAAATCACTAAAATGTGTAAAAATTGTTTGAATATATAAAACATTATTATTATCATGTCATACAAAATCTTTGGATTGAACTTAAAACAATGCTTTATTCATGTACAATTATTATAAATATGCTTTGAAGAATGTTAGTATGGAACTAAGAAATGCCAATATTATAAATATGATTTACAGAAAACATCACTGATAATTATTATTATTATTATTAATTAAGAAATTATTTTATTTTTTAGCAAGAAGATATTAAGTATATTGAATCTACGCCCTTTAAAAAATCGAAACGCACGGTTAACTTGAAAATGCTTTCGGTCGGAAAAGTTAATGTGAAACAGTTTGAACCCAATCAACATGAGCCAAACACGTTTAATTTCCCGGGTGGCGACTCCTGTCGTGCGGAAAGCTAATGCTACGCACATCCCATAAAACCCTGTGAAACATATTTAGGTCACCTCGAGGGAGAGCTGGACTTCAACGAGCTGCCCCATTTAATAAGACATTTTAGAAGGAGGAAGTTCACAAGATGACCTCAGTTAACGTTTGGTCTGTTTATCCCAGCAATTAAGTGTTTACGCAGTATGTTTATTGAAAAGAAAGAAAACTCAACATATGTTCGAGCTATCTCAAGTTTTATTTACTTAGAGCTCGAGGCAGTGGCTCGCGCTAACTTGAAAATGAGCTATAAACTTTTACAAACATTTTAGTTTTACACTACATACAAACATTTGCTATTTGTATGCTAAAAATCGGTTTCATGTGATTTAATTTCTGGGTAATTTGCTAAATGAAATATATGTAATGATTCATTGCTGTATTCGATAAAGAAAATTATAGACGCAAAAATTCAAGGTAATGAGTAATCTCTATGAATCAAATTGCAAATTAGAAAAACAAAGTACCTATATATTAGAAAAAATGCAACAAATTAAAACTTAAAACGTAACAAGGCTTTAGGAAGCAGGTTTATATTAAGTTTCTTATCAGAAGCACTAAAATTGTAGATTAACCTTTTACATGAACCTTCCGAGCCAAAATGAAAGAGTAAATTGTAGAAATATTACATTATGTATACGTAATATATTTATTTATAATAAGGTTTGTTTTGACTAAGCCTCCCCTAATGATAAATCTTATTCCTCGTTTATTTTGAGTATGGCTACGTTCTCTTTTGTGTTATTGTTTGTCTGTCTGAGCTTTTTAGTTCATCAGGCATTTATACACTTTTTTGGCCTTCGGACAACTCATAACTAACTTTAACTTCTTTGATTTTTCATTGAAAAATATAATTAAAATTTACATACAAACGGTTTGAAGCGATTATTTTGTGTAGGCTCACACGCTGAAATTTTTGGCGTTTGATTTAATCAAGGCCAAGAGAGTGAGAGAGACGTTAATTTATTAACATGTGTGGCGTTTGGTTTTTAGATATTTTTGCAGCGGAGAAATGTTGCAGAAAATTGCTTATATAATTTAGATGTTCGTGCTAAAATGCCACCGATCATATAGGATTATTCATCCGCCCAGATCGTAATACTTAAGGTACACAAAAAACGATGCGCGACACACACATAAAGAAAATATTGTCTTTTGGTTTTCTCCCGAAACGATGATTAATGCTACAATACACACGGAACTATGGCAAAAAAAAACCCGTTTCCTTGAAAGGTGATCGGATTGTCTTTAGTTACAGAGCTTGGTTAGTGACCCACCAGCTGATTTCAATTAAATTACCGCAGAAAATTCTTGTTCAAAATTTTCACTTCTTGTCCGAGCGAATATTTAATAAACACTAAATTAAAGTCCACGAACGTTGGCAATGGCAACCAACAAATAAGTTTGGAGAGCCAAAGAGAGGCGACCAACGCGCAGCAACGATGAGGTGAGAAGTGAGCGAGAAACCAGCTGAAATGTTTGCCGGTGGGGGATTACCGACCCCTACCCCCCTTGGATTACCTACCATACAGCCCCTTTAGTCAGCTGTTTCTGTGGGGGAGAGGATTACTCTCTTGAGAGCGGTTGGAGCACATGTTTACTAAAGCCCCAGACACCGACTGATCATTCACAAGTCAAGTGCATTGTACCAACACATAGGCAGTTTTAAATGTAAATAAAAGACGATAATTGAAAGAGAGCAAAGTACTTGTTTCCTATTTCCCAGTGGAAAAGAATTGCATTATTCATGATAAGAAATTGAGTCTATAATAAATACAATATATAAAACCAAACAGCTTAATATGGGTAATATAGATCAGTTGGAAAAACAATTTCCAATATTTATGATAACAAACTCTGTCGAGAAATATAAGAATAATATATGTATGTAGGTATATAAAACACATGAAAACGAATTAGCTCAAATGGTAATTACCTACTTGCTTTCAATTATTCATAGAAGTTGATAAATATCAAAAGGGGGGAATAACGTGGCCATTAGTCACTAAGGTTATTAAGCAGCTCAGTAAAATCTAAGACCAAGGAGAACAATCAATATTTGGAGACTATACACAGAATCGCACCTTATGTGTATGAGCAAATGTACTTTTTTCGTAGTGTTAATATTTGCCATAAACAAAGAGATAAGAACGACAGGGTCCACCGTAATAAAGCACTTACTATATAAACACTAAGTGCTTTCTGAGTTTGATTTATACTAAAACTATGTACATTTTTTTAACTGAGAAAAATATTTATTTTGTGAATTACGGTAATCGTTCAGATTTCATTTAATAGTTCGATGAATCAAAATAAAAGCTTCAATTTTTCCATTTAAGAAATAATAGTGTTAAGTACACAAATATACTCGTATGTTAGTCAGTCGTTTGTAATTTTTTAAACACCCTGTAAATCGAGCAAAACCGAACTCAATTACAGAAAAATGACAACAAAAAGCAGACAAGTGCAATTATCTTTAATGACCACTTCCTCGGCTCTAAAAGGTCTGAATGGGGTTTCCCGCTCTTTCAAGCTTTTTGTGGGTTTTAGGCTTACCTTTCTGTTAATCTGCCTCTCTTTTCGGCGATGCTGAGTGATTCACGCGATGCTGTCAACTTCTCCTGATCAACGAATCTCTGGGATCCCCTTCCTCCCCAAAAACTCTCTTTTCCCGTTAGTCGCTCATGCAACTTATGACGTTTCATCAGTTCCAAGTCGAAAGGTGCGAGGGGGGTGGTGAAGGGTGGTTCCAGGGGGGCAGGTGGTAAACTGGTACTTCTCTCCAACAGCTGGAAGCTCTCGTCCTTGGAAAAGGGGGGTGGAGAAGAGGATTCCTCCAGAGCAGCCACTTTGGCATTGCCTAAATTTAGCATCTTGCTAGCGAACCACTTTTAAAATTAGCCAAAATGCTACTCGTTCTCCTCTCTTCTTCTTCGTTTCGGTGCTTTCTCGAGGCATCTGCGTCTGTGTGCGTTAGTTGCCAAAATTCAGTTACGAGGTCAATCATTAACTTTCATTTCCATCGTAAGCTACTATCTAGTATCACATTAAGCTATTGAACTTAGCACTATTGTAGTATTTTGTAACTATCAATCAATTTCCGTTGATTTTACGGCGGAGAACCGCCAGCGAAAACCGTTTAAGCCAATGTACTGTAATAAACTAAATATTTCAAGTGGTGGGGTACTATCAATTGGTTCTTGGCCGCTTATCGATATTTAAGCGGGCTATTCAAAAGTCTGATAAGGTGGGATACTTTGTAATGTTTCAGTTATTACATGTTTAACGAAATAATGCAAGTCTTGCAAAAATTAGATTTTTTTAAGAAAATATTTTTTTGTTTAAAATTTTTTTATTCGGTAAACAGTTTGAGCTAAAGAAATATTTCCCATAATCACCAAGTTTTTATTATTTGTCAGCCATTTTTTTTATAAATAAATGTATATGTATCTGTCATTAGCAGCAAACTAATTAAAATATGAGTTAGACTGATACCAAATGTTTGTAAGACTGCTGGACAAATTCGCTAAACCCAAATATGGTAATTCCGCCAAGGCATGTCTTACTGTGTTTTATACTATCGCTTTGTGTAGAGTGTTGAAAAACAGATAAAGCCCACCCACCGAAAAGTCTTATCACGAAGCAGCTGACTACACTGCAGATATAGGAAATCAATGCAGGGCAAAATCAGGAAGACAATTGAAACACATGACTTTTCAGATAAAACAACAACGTGTATTGGGCAAAACACAAAACAAGAATAATACAATCCCTTGCGAACGGGAGGCGAAACTAGGATTCTCGCTATTTTTACATGGAACAAACAACGAAATTTCACTTTAATGTATGGAATAATAATACAGCAGTGTTTTCAGTAAGATAACCACTATTATTACGGGTCTAAATTATGGATTAGAGTTGAACGTGGACATTGAATTTACAGCAAGCACACAGAGCTCCGTTTGGGCCACAGTTTACTTGTGGTTGTAGTTCTTGTGGACCTCGGGCGAGATGTTGTAGACGTACTGCAGGATCTCCTGGATGACGGGCTCCTTGCGGGTCTGGATGGCCCGGTCCATGTCGGCCAGCTTAACGCGGGTATCCGCATCGATCTTGGCCGCCACGCCCTCCCGGCTGCCCATGTGCTGGTTTTAGGGATTAAATGAAGTTAGTTTCATTTTTAGCCAAAATACAAGGCTATTATCCAATCCAACTCACCTTGGCCTCGAACTCCTTGAAGGCGCGCTCGCGCTCCTGACGGAATTTCTCAATCTCCTCAGTGGCCTCGTCCTTGGCCTGCTTCAATCTCCTTGCCTTGCCTGTGGGATTGGCATAAAAACAGACAAAATTTCAGTTGAGCTTAATATTTACTTTTTCCACCACATCATGTGACCAGCACACAACGGCGATTATGGTGTCAGAGGGGTGGTGAAAAAACCGCAGTTACTTTTTCACCCACTATTTCCAATTGGAATGGAATTGAAAATAAAAACTTACGTTTACGGGCTTCGGCGACCTTCTCGGCTGCCTTTTTCTCGGCAGCAAGCAACTGCTGGATTCCCTGCGTCTGGCTGGCCATAATTCACAAGATTCTACCTCCTCGCCGTGGTTTACAGTGCAAGTTGAAAAAAGCAAGTGCGATGGAAACTAAATCAACGACGAACTGCGAAAAATGTCATATGACGAAGTCACACACACGCAAACTCACCACCGAGCTATGTTGGTGTGGGTGCGCAGCGTGCTGGATAGCTGGATGCTGTGATACTTTTGGGAATGGCAAATTCCTAAATATATCGATAGGTGCTTATTAAGGCTTTTAAATAACTAAACACTTAAAATTATTGCTAGTTATTTATACTAAAAATAGTTTGGTTAATTCCAATATAGCAATATAATTTTTTACTTCGAAAGCTAAACCTTTTTTGAATTTTTGCTAGAAACAGGTCTAGAGCATTGTATTTCTTAGCTTTTTATCAGCCCTTCAGTCTTATCTTAAATTACCAATATTTCTTAACTTTATATCAGCCTTACAGTTTTATCTTTAAGCTCATAACAGTACTGACAAAAAGTTTAGTTTAATACATATATTTTATCTTTTTTACCACGGCCAGGTTTATATTTCCACAGATTTTTCTTAAAGCTAATAACAGAACAGAAAATAACTACATAGTTCCAAATATTAAAAGCTAACTAAAGTTTATTTTCAATCTTTGAAAACACAGATTGTAGTATGATTCAAAATACAATTTTTAAATTCAGATCATTTGAACACTAGACATTTTTATTATAGATTATTATTATAATATAACAGAGTAATCGTTGAAATTTTATTTTGCATATTGCAACAATTTTTAAAGACGTTGAATATGAAATTACTGTGGGAACCAAACATTGAAACCATGAAAATTGTTGATCTCTTACCTGTGGTGTTTATGCCTCAAGTAGTTTTCTTAATTATAATTGGAAAAAGAGAGTTCCCCTATTAACTGTTGGCGTGTACTTACCGATACTATCGATAGTGCCATCTTTTGTTTAACAGTTCTTCTTCGATTAGTCCGCACTTTAAAAAAACAGATTTCCCAATTTGTAGCAAATAAAAAGATTGCACTGTTCCAAATTTACGTGTGAATCAATAAGACACCCCTTCCAATATGTTTACGCCCAACGCGAACGCCCCCATCGGAGGTGCATCCGCTGCTCCTGGCGCCTTTGCTTTTGGCGCGCGACCGGCGGCGACGACGGCGCCTCCTTCTTTCGGAGCAGCAACTTCCACGACGACCTTTGGTGCTCCTCGGCCGGCCGGGTCCCTATTTGCCGCTCCCGCGGCCACTCCTGCGTTTGGAGCGCCTGCTGCAACTCCTGCGTTTGGAGCACCTGCTGCAACGCCTGCTTTTGGGGCACCAGCTGCTGCGCCCGCTTTTGGAGCAACTCCGGCTGCAACTCCAGCCTTCGGAACCGCTCCCGCCGCAACCTCAGCCTTCGGAGCTACTCCTGCGGCCACCCCAGCATTCGGGGCACCAGCTGCCTCTCAAGCGCCGGCGTTTGGAGCACCGGCACCCGCTGTGGGCACCGTAGCGCCCACCTTCTCCTTTGCCACGCCGGCCACAAGTGCTCCGACCACAGCTCCACCGGCCTTTGGATTCGGAAGCACAGCCACAACGGCAGCAGCTGCGATGCCAGCTTCCCTAGGATCAGGTATCGGATCGTTTGCCTTTGCCAAGCCACAGGCCACCACGGCTGCCAGCTTGAACTTCAACACAACCACGACGACGGCGACGGCACAGCCCTTCAACACGGGGCTTAAGCTGGGAGCCACAAACATAACTACAGCCATTGGAGGAGGCGGTATCTTTGGGAAGCCAGCGGCACAGACGGCTGCTCCGGCCACCTCCACTTTTGTGGGTCTGGGCGGGATCGATGTAAGTACAACGCAGCCTAAGTTGGGAGACAACAAACAGGACGGCGTCAAGGTGAGTTCCAGAAGTAAGTAGGGAGGATCAAGTGATCAGTAATATATTCCAAGCAGATCAAGGAAACCCAAGTGCCCGACGAGATAGTGAAGACAGTGGATGCTTTAAAGGCGTACATCAAGCAGCAGAAGACCATATCCTCGGACATTGGCAGGACTTCCACATCGAAGTTCACCAATGTGAGCCACGAGATCACCAACTTAAAGTGGGCACTGCAGAACATGGCGAATTCCGTGGAGGGCAACAACCAACAGATTCGGCTGATGCGTCAGGAGACCGCCAAGGCGATTCAATCTCTGGAGATGGCACAGCGCACGCAGGACACTCCTGCCGGCCTGCAATTCGAGAACAGTGCTCCCTTCCAGTACTTTCAGTGCCTGGTGGCCAAGTACGAGCAGGATTTGATTGCGTTTCGCCAGCAGATTGCTCTGACCGAACGCCACATGCATGCGTTGTCTAACCCGCAGAGTATCTCGCCGGAGGATCTGAAGCGCGGGTTCCGCCAGCTGAATGAGAGCTTCATCTCTCTGGCGGGGCGTCTGCACGAGTTGCATCAGCGCGTGGAGGAGCAGAAGGAACACTACCTGAACCTGCGCCGCTATCGCCTGCGGGACGCCACAAACGTTTTCGAGCGCATCGACAATCCTCCGCTGCCGTCGGTTGAACCCCAAAGGGTCAGTAGCGGGCCAACGCCCTTCTCCAACATCTCGGCGCTGATGAACAAATCCTATGCGGCGGCGGCTAATTCCGCCAGCAATGCGGCAGCCAAGTGAGATCAAATTTTTATCGAGTTTCAATAAATCGTTATGTACAAGAAACTCCAGTCTTTCGATTTTAGTTTTTAGTTTTAGCATAGAATATATATTTCATCTGCAAACAATCTTTACTTCTTCACCACCTGGATTACGTCCTCGTCGGCCATCACGTGGGCGATACCGACGCGCTGCGGCGAGTATTTCGTGGAGGTTCCCCACACCAAAGCGTATTTGAACTGGGCCGCCAGCGTGCGATGAATGGCATGGCATACGTGCTCCACACTTACGCCCTGGGAAAAAAAAGAGATTAGAAAGGACATTGAGGAAATCTTCAGAGAGAATAAACCTGCTATTCTAAGAATTTACAATTAGTTTTATCAGGATTATTGTTAACGATCGAAAAACACAAGATGACAAACTGATAAAAAAAAATCTTAAAAAAGTGAAGGGGACCTTGAAGATCAGACTTAAAAGACCACTAATAGCAGCAACTTGCCTTTCTCAGAATCAGACCGTCGTCGAAGTCCGGCGGAGCACCTGGCTTTTTTGTGTAGACCCTGATGAGCTGCAGCGCCTCCCAGAGGGCCTCCAGCATGTAGTCCAAATTGAGCTTCATGTTGCAGCTAACCACGATAGAGTTTGGCTGGCGCGCCAGGCGGTCCACCTCCTCAATGGAGATCTGATCGATTTTGTTATAAACATACAGACAAGGTAGATACACGCGGTTCGCGGTGACCACGTCGATGAACTCGTCCTCGGTGCAGTCCTCGCGGAAGAGCACCTCGGCGTTGAAGATCTTGAAGGAGTGCAGGATGGTCTGGACCATTTTCTCGTTGCAGCGTGTCAGGGAACAGGTGGCGTTGAAGCTCAGACCGCCGCCCTTCTTCTGCTTAAAGTAGATGTTGGGCTTGCGCTTGTTCAGCCGGATGCCCACTGACTCCAATTCCCGCTCGAGCAGCTCCCGATGCACATTTGGCTTGGTGGCGTCGAGCATCATGAGCACCAGGTCAGCGGTTCGGGCTACAGCGATGACCTGTCGACCACGCCCCTTGCCTTGGGCAGCGCCCTCGATGATTCCGGGCAGATCCAGCAGCTGTATGTTGGCGCCCTGATACTCGATGACGCCCGGAATGCAGGTCAAAGTGGTGAACTCGTAGTTTGCTGCCAGGATTGGGAGCAAAAATTAGTCGAGGAACCGCAGTTTGAATTGCAATACCTACCCGCCTCCGATTCCGTCTTGGTCAGGGTGGACAGCATAGTGGACTTGCCCACCGAGGGAAAGCCAATGAGGGCCACCCGCGCGTCGCCGCTTTTGAGCACATCGAAGCCCTCGCCCTTTTCGCCCTTTTTTGAGGGCTCCAGCAACTGGGAGCGGTACTTGGCCAACTTGGCCTTCAGCAGGCCCAAATGGTATTCGGTGGCTGTCGGAGAGGGTAAGAGAACACGCAGATTAAAGATTTGCACTAATTCCTAACCTAAATTCCGATAGCCAGCGCGGCGATTTCTTGGCCAAGCTAACTGAGCTTACCTTTGTTCTTCTGTGTCCGCGCAATTTCACGCTCGATTTCTGCAATCTTCTCTAGGATGCCCATGTTTCCGGATATCCTGATCCAAGACCGGGCATGCACAAAATTAGATAAAACAAAAGTACGCTTTTATTTGTTGACCAGTGGTTCGCCGCCCGGGTGATGCAGCCCTGATCAGCTGTTTTTTTCCTTTGAATGAACCAGTTCATTTTCGCCCAAATTAAACCACGGCACATTGAAAATATTTAACGCCATAAATGATAAATAGGAGTCCCAGTAGCTTTCATTCCGATTTTCGATTCTCTAACTCCTATGGTATGTCCTTAATGCAATGTGGCCTATAGGAATCCCCCCATAAAAAAATATCACCAAAATTTTAAATCGTAACCGAAGTTTAAATGTAAAGCCAATGTTGCAAAAGTGGACATGAAATGGTTAAAAACCGCAGTTTTTTTTAGTGTAGTTGGACGTTTTTTTTAATTTGTAATGCTTAAAAATATAAATAAAATTGTTATCCATTTTATTATTAACATAGTTGGAGCAGTATATTAAGTTTTATTGTTAGTTTTAAGGAAAGATAAAAAAAGAATTGAATTGAATATATGCAGCCAAATGTAAAGAAACGAACCTAAAACCAAAGTGTGCAAAAGCTTATCAGCAGGGCTAACAGAGTTATGTTCTTAAAAACGTAAAAATATGTATGGATTTATGGACGAAAAAACAGAGAAATATGGACGAAATATGGACGAAATATGGACGAAAAAGTTGACAAATATGGAATAAAATGGATAAATATGGATAAATAAAGGTAGTATAGACGAAAAAAGGGATAAATATAGGTATAAAAATTGATAAACGTAGACGATTATATCGATCATATTAACTTTTATGACAATGAACAATTAGAAATCGCTACAAACAAAAGTGCGCCGTTTGTCTCAAAGATCATTGCAGAACAATATGACATGTTGTGTCAGATTAGTAAAAACAAAACTACGGCGTTTGTCACTCAATATGTGTTTATATGATAAAAATGAATTTAAGAGACATACGAACTGAAAGCATGAAATATGGAATAAATACTGAATCTTGTTTTGTTTTGTTCCATTATTTATTATCGAGTATAAGGCAAACGACAGAAATTTCATAATATTTGAGCCAAACATATCTTTCTATAGGTTTTCAGACACTTTAATGCTCAAAATATGGATTTATTCAAGTGATTGTGTAAAATATGGATATATAGGAAAAAAGGCGAAAATATGGAAATAAATATTTTTTCATTTAAAAACATAACTCTGTTAGCCCTGCTTATCAGTTAGATCAGTATTTCCCAAAGTGTGGGTCGCGACCCACTGGTGGGTCGCGGGTAGATTTTTTGTGGGTACTAATTGTCATATAGATCTTGCAATTTTTTGTGTAGGTGGGTCGCGGACCGCGACTCGCGGTCCCGACAAGTTTGGGAAACACTGAGTTAGATCACAAACAACTCGGCTACAGTGATGCCAAAATTTTTTCGAAAAAAAAGGACAGATTGAGAAAAAAAACGGGAAAAATAGGATGAAAATATTATAAAAAGGATAAAAAAAAAGGACAAAAAGTTTTTTCACAGTAATTTTATTTTTTATTATTAAAATAATAGTTTTAAGGCATCTTCGATTATTTTTCCTTCGTCATTATTGCTGTCCTCATAAGTAGGCATGGAGCCAATTAATTGGAGAGACTTTTCAGGCAAGTTATAATTATGACAACATAATTTATGACGACGCAATCCAAATCTCAAGAAAGAACACATGTACATACATGTATTTATAAGCGGTAAGCTTTTGAAAATATATATATGTATATTTATCTGATTGCCAAAATGACAATTAATGAATCTACCTCTAAACGGTTCCTAATTTTGGTTTTTACCAAGTTTACTTGGCTTAAAACTCTCTACCTCAGCATTTGACCATGGCAATGAAAGCAGACTAAGAGGTCCTCATAGGGGTTGTTGCCTGCAGAATCCCGATACCTTTTCACTTCTGACCAAAATGTTGAAGTATTTTCAATATTTTCCCAATTTATTAGGTGAATATTGGAATATTGTGAAATTATTTTGCTTTTAATCTCAGAATTTATTGAAAATATATTTAAAATAGGCAGAATTTAGCCTTTTTGAAAGCAAATAATATTAGATTTAAAAAAAGGACAGATTTCCGGATAAAAAATCTAAAAAAGGACAGATTTCAGGTATGCGGATGATTAAAAATTTTTTCCGGATGAAGGGTTAAAAACAGGACAGATCTGTCCGGAAAAAGGACAAATTGGCATCACTGCTCGGCTATGCTCAAGCTTGAGTGCAACTGATAAGCTTTTCTGCTATAAGAACGTGTATGCTGCTCTCGAGAGAACATTCGCCGATCGATGCTCGAAGCTGCTGGCTGAAAAAAATTTTTGGAACCGACTTCGTTTCGTTTTTCGTCTTTTTTGAAAATTGCCCAGTTTAGTTTAATTTTTAGTTTAATTTTTTTAAACGTAAATTTTCCGGGAAAACTCTCCCGGATTCACATTGGCGCCCGAGCAGGGACTACGGCTAGTTTGTCATTAATTTTCGCGTCGGAAAAAACAAACAAAAAAAACAGTGCACCTCTCGTCGTCTCGGCACTTGTTTAGTTTTTTTTTAAATTTGTTGGCGAAAATTCTAGCTGGTGGAATTCGGCGAAGCAGTGAAGTGTGGGCGAAAGCTGTTGGATACGGAAGGAAAGTGCTTGGAAAATCATGACTAACAACCAGGTATTCAGTGAGCAGTATTTTGTGAGCACTCCACTTTATGTGTGTATGTGTGCATTCTACATGGTATTAATTCTTGGCACCTACTTATATTGGAAATATTATTAAACCCAAAATATACCCAAACTTCCAAATAAATAAAATAAAAGTGAACTGCCTTTGACAAGACTTATGGTGTCAAATTTCTGCGAAAATTTGGAAAATTTATGTGCGTTATATATTTACATACGGTACAACTGCAAAAGTCCAGCTATATCTACATACATATGTACATACCGGCGTTTCGCCGCATACATACATATTTACATATTATTTACAACTTGGTTTTTGTTAAAAAAAAAAGTAGCATATCGACAACGGTCGATGATAGCCGCGTTCGACGCTTACTAATGAGTTGTCCAGCTTTGCTAAAAACTGGTTCCGACTCACACGAGATGCGGCAACGCAGAAGAATTTTTTCGCTAGGGTTTTAAACTCGTCGCCATCTGTAGTCATCTAAATTAGTTTATAAAATAAACTAGAAAAAATGTGTCAATCTTCCTTTAGGCGCATAAAGGAAGATTGAATCATTGATGTTTAAAAAAAAAAAAAACAATGTCCGTGAACATCGATGTTTCTCCACCTCTAGCCCCGATGCCGTAAGCTGACGCATTGGTTTTCTGGGTATTTGAGAGTGACATCTTCTAATGCCCAAATGTTTCGAAGTCTATTGAATGCCTCTATTTGCTGATCGTTAAAATTCATTGGTATTTTTCTAGAGATGTGTTTACTTACGTAATCCTTTCCTCCCTTCAGGAGGTTGGTAAGTGGCCTGGCGATTGCACCGAAATCCTTTATGAAACACCTATATTAGCTGGCAAGTTCTAAGAATGATCTTAGTGAGAATAAGCTTGTCGGTTCTTAGTGAGAATAAGCTTGTCGGTTCCGCGTACTCCTTAATGGCTGCTACCTTTTCAGGGTCAGTTGTAGCCCCGTTTCGGGTCACTAAGAAGCCGAGGTATTGGACACTTTCTATAAAAAAAAGGGTTTTCTCTTTCGAGATGGTCATGTTGGCTTGGCCTAATTTTTTCAGGACCCTGTCAATGTGACTGACATGCTCTTTTTCGTTTTCCGAAAAGACAATGACATCGTCCACGTAGACGTAACATGATTTCCCTATCTGCTCTCTCAATACGTCATCGATAGCCCTTTGAAAAATGCTACCAGCATGTTTCAATCCAAAAGGCAAACGGTAGAATTCATACATTTGTGTTGTACGGCAAGGTTTGAGTTGCGTCGGAGAAGACTTTAGATCCTTTTTCCATCATTTCGATGAGCTCCTTTTTTAATGACTCTGGAACGACTATGTCCTTTATGTTGGTAAAGTTTACATTCTCGCAGTCAAGGAACTGCAGGTCCTCAGACACGGAACCATACAAAATTTTTTTAGTTTGCATATTGAGGGTGGCTTTCACCTGCGTAAGCAAGTAAGCCTATGATCCCGTCAAATGTTGTTAGGGAATCTATCATAAAAAATGGGGAAGTGGTTCCGAAGACGCTTATTAGGCACTTTTTATCTATGGCGTGAGTTCAATTCACGTGAAACAGTGAGGCTATTGGCGTTATATTTTTAAGCTCATCTACAGGCTTAATATAACTTTTCGCTGCCCCTGTGTCAATAAGAATTTTTAAAGTTCTCCCAGCAAACCATCGTTCTATTAAGGTCATGGGAGTCGACCAAGTCGCTGTCGACGAACAGTCTCAAGCTGTAGTCGCTGCTTTATCTGCGTTGTTTTATCTGCGTAGGAGCAGTTTAATCTTGCCAGAATGGCATCAAAATTAAGTACAGTGTTGTGCAATACCAGCAACGCTCGCACTGAGCCCCTAGTTTTATTCCTGATTATGGTAACGGCTTGATAATGGGCACAGCTGCCCTGGTAAGGTTTAAACTTTAAAGAGTTCGTATTGTACGTGGCAGATTGCCACTGGACCTGGCACAGTCTGGCACTGACTTAATAACGTGGAGCGGTATATCGCATGGGAGTGCTCCTGGCTGTACCGAGACTCTTTGGTAGGCCTCCAATTGTGGGGGCTCTACGCGCATGTTTTGTAACTGCATATTAACGGAACGGATGTGAGCTTCAAATTCTGCTCGGAGCCTAGCCTCCTGTTGTGCCAAGGCGCTCTGGATAATGTCTTGCAATTCGTTTGCGTTCATTATGTCTTCTTTCTCTTCGATTTGAACCTGTTTTGGCCTAAAGCCCCGGATCTCTTCTGCTTCACTATCATTCACGACTTCCTTTTCAATTCAATCTTTGTACGGACCTGGAAAGTTCATTAAAAACCTGAACTTATGCCACCTAATGCCTCTCCAGATCAAGTCGATGATGAGATGGCATCGGTAGGGTGCTTGGTGAGTAGTAGCTGCTGTCCAGGTATCAGGTAGCTGCTCATATGTATCAAATGAAGATTATGTTGAGAGGGTGACTGCCCCCCCTTTACCCCTGGCCTTAAGCTTAGTGGGTGAATACAAAGAATATAGCGGCGATAGACGGAGTAAAGTTATTAAGCCAAGTGATCTATGTTCAATTAATTATAAAACAGAACTGAGGAACTTAGCTGTACGAAAAAGGGAGCTAAGTCGGCAGGCCGACCGCATGCCAGTGGAAAATGCTGACGATCGCAAAATGAGCATATGGTAACTCACCATACCGGGAACCAATGGGATCTAGGCACGACCCCCAAAGGCGGGTATGCTGAGTCGGCATCTAGAAACACTAGGGTGATCCAAAAATCACCCAAGATTTCTACCGACTGTTTGTTACCCCTCAGTAGTTTTAAATTGTACAAAAATAAATAAAAATGTAAAAGGTAAAAGGGAACACTTTGCCATCTCATAGAATATTGATTATATTATTTTTAAGTAGACTCATAGATAAGAACGGCCTTAGATAGTTGGTCCAGCTCGGAGATCGTGGACATAATTTCAACGATGCTCGTCACAAAAAAGCCGAATTCATTTATGTGTTGTAATTGTGTAATAGGGTCTTAGCGTGAATAGCGCGAAATAAAAGCGTAGATATAAATTTAAGTAAAATAAAATTGTAATTAATAATTTCACAAAAGACAATTATTTTGAGATACTTTATATCCAGTACGACGCTGACTTAGTATTTTTTTTAGTTTTATTTTTTGCAGTTCTTTTGTTCTACAATTAGGAGCACTACATTTCTCATTGTGAAGCAGGGATTAAGGGTAGGGCGAAGGGTCCGCGGCCTGGTTGAAGACTTAATCTTTTGGCATAATGTACATAATTTCTGACCGCTAAAGACCCCCACACATTGATCGGCCCTGAGGCCACCACATTCTTAACCCGGTCCTGGTGTGAAGGTATTACATTTATCATTTTAAACTCTATTCATTGCCTCATATTAAAGTAAAGTTAAGTAGTATACTATTGAAAATAATTAAATACTAAAAACTCTAAATGAAACAGTATGTACACCTTTACTTAGATGCTGTGGAAATGATAAACCTTACCCATTTTTTTGGCACAGAGCGACGATAGACCAGAACAATTTCATATTTTTCGCCGAGGGAACTTGCTTTACTCGAATTTTAACATGTTTTATTATATTTTGCTTCTGATCCTAACTTTCTGGTTGGCACATTTAGCGGCATCCAGAACATACGGTAAGTAGAAAAAAGGCTATACGCCAATTTAAGTCTTCATTGCATTATCTACAAAACACCACACAGTTAACATAAGCAAAACACACTTCACATTGCAACTCCTATACTTCTGAATTAGTATTTAAGACTTTATCTCCTCAAGAACAAATGAGTTATTATAATAAGTGACCTAATGCATCTCTAATCTAATTAACAGTCAGGTTTGCATTCATTGGATTCGCATTTAAATTTTAATGGAGTTCTTTTATTTTTTGGCTAGGCATTAGTTCTTGCCATCGTGGCGAAAACTGCCAGAGATTGCACTCGTGTGAACACTTGTTTAGTAGTATACGATCCAATTCCATTCGTGATGCCATGTATAATATCTGGGAGGAGCGACGATGTGGACGCGATAACTGTAAAAAAAAACCCAAAAATTGTTTCGTGTGCTGTCCAAAATCTGGAAACTACCTGCCAAGTCCTTCGAAATGCGGAAAAATTCTCAAACCTAAAGTAACCTACCGAGTAACAGGCGGACAGGAGCCGCAGCTGAATAAGTTTCCCTGGATGGCCATGCTTCTTTACCGGAACCCCTTTGATCCGGATTCGGGGCTCGAGCCCCGTTGCGGAGGATCCTTGATAAATAACCGTTACGTCCTTACGGCAGCCCATTGTGTGAAGCTTATCGGAGGCTTTCTCCTCGAAAGGGTGCGCTTTGGCGAGCATAACAGCTCCACCGATACGGATTGCCAGCGTAGGTATGGAGGAATGGAATGCGCTCCCCCTCATCTGGAAATAGATGTGGAGAATGCTTTCGCGCATGAAGAATATATATCCAGATTAGAACACAACGACATCGCTCTTTTGCGGCTCCAATCGTCGGTTCGGTGAGTAAACATTACCCCATCATATTAAAAGGTACCACCTTTTAAAAATGATCTGCTCTTTCAGCTACACTGCCGCAATTATACCTATTTGTCTACCAAAAGCCTTCTTCAGCTTAAGGGATCGTAAAATGACTGTAGCAGGCTGGGGCTATACGGGTCTTGGCTTAAGAAGCGATACACTCTTATTCGCAACCGTTCGGGAGATGAATTTTAAAAACTGCGAAGAGCAGTTTTGGCACAAAAATTTTACGAACTATGCCCAATTATGTGTCACTGGCATAAGTGGAGTTGAGGAGAGTTGTGATGGCGATTCTGGCGGTCCGCTGATGGCAATACATAGAGGGGCTACATATGCAGTTGGTATTACCTCCTATGGACCACCTTGCAACCAAACAAAATGGCCAGGTGTATACACAAAAATTTCCCGTTATTTAAATTGGATACAAGCCAATTTAAAGCCCTAAAATCATAGGTTCTGCCTTGTGTTTATAGTTTTTATAATCATTTAAAATTTTAGAATTTCAGTCAGCAGTTTTCAAGAAATCTACACCATAAAGTATATATATTTTTCATCAGTATCACTATCTGAATTGATCTAGATGAGTACGTCTATCATCATAGCTTTGATACTTAGTCTTTATGCATTTTGCTCGACATTTGTGATGACTGTAAAAGTGTATAAGCTTCGGCTCGCCTTCTTCTTCTCATGTTTTTTTTAATAGGCGTATTAAGCTCTTTCCAGATCGTCATTTTTAATTTTTTCTGGCAGCATTATAATATTATCAAGAAAGTAATGTGAAAGTATCAGATATGGCATTTATAAAAACCAATCATAAGCAATATAACATTATAATCTATATATGTATATATATAAAATAATGTCGTGTTAGTTACACCACTTATAACACAAGAACGGCAGAACAGATCTGGCTGAAAATTGGTAGGGTAGTAGCTTAGAGCCAGGAGAAGGACACTGTTTGATATCACAAATCAGGAACACGATGGAAATTATCGGCTCAAGTTGTTAACTTCTAAATTGGACGTTGCCAATGGGCCGGAAGCAAAGTCAGAAAGGCGCACTGTTGGAAACTTAATCTGCCCAGAAAGTCAAGGGCCGAGTTTATCGAGTACTAAATATATAAAGTATATAACGTCTCACGTCTCAAAAGTTAACTTTTGGAAATAAGCTGTAACAATTAGACTTATGTATAATTACCAACTGAGTTTGCAATGTATAAGCGGAGAAATAAAATTATTAAAACATTAAAAACCTCAAAAATACACGCAAAAAATTTCATCACAATCGGTCCAGCCGTTTAGGAGGAATTCAATGACTAACACACGTACAGAAGATTTTTATATAACTTCAGTTTAGAAGCTTAAACTTCTTAATAAAAATATAAATAAATTTAGAAAAGAAAAATAAATAAAATGAAAATAATAATAATAATTATTTAGATTTGTTTTAAAACCTTTTAATTGGATATAAATTCTAACATATCTTCGCAGCACAACTTTATTTGTTCCTTTTTTTTTAAACTTGCTATTCTGAGCGATAATTTATACTTTTTTTGTGAATTTAAGTGATAAGACGCTCTAAACGACTCGATATTAATTCGGGATACGAAAATCAGTCTTGCTTTTAGCACTCGCGGATAAACATGTTATTTTCACTGAATGTTGTTATTTCATTTAGTTTTTTGTTGGTGCACTCAGCTGAATCTGGTAATTAGCCTTAGGCATGCGTTTAACTGTAATTTCCACTACAAGACTTTTTAAGATTGTCATCGCGATGAGATGAACACAACACTGGATCGCTGTCCCCACCTGTATAATATTGCCAGAAACAAGAAGGTCCAAAAAACATTCAGCATCACCAGCGAGCGAAGTTTTATTTGCTGCCCCAAGCCGAGTTCTCAGCTTCCAAGTCGGGGGATCTGTGGACAAATTGGACCCAGGCCTCGAATTGTGGGTGGCTCGATGGCGGCACCGAATGAGTTTCCCTGGATGGCTATGCTATTTTACCAGAACCTCACAACATTCACTTCTATCTCGTATTGTGCGGGTTCGCTAATAAACAATCGATACGTCCTGACTGCAGCCCATTGTGTGCATGACCTCCCAGGCGACTTAATACTTAAAAAGGTTCGTTTTGGGGAGCACAATATTAGCACAAACCCAGACTGCAACATCCGGAGAACCTATTGTGCTCCCCGTCATGTGGAAATCAACGTGGAAAGTATTATTTTGCACAGCCAGCTTAATAAAAGTCCCAGAAAGCGATTCGAAAATGACATCGCGTTGGTTAGACTTAAAATTCCAATACGGTGAGTAATGATCCCCTAGTTGCACTCTCTCAGTTCTCGTCTGAGAATTATATGGAGCTTAAACCAAGCGATTATCAGAAAAGAAAGAAGAAGCTTTAGAACGCCGAAACTTTAGTGCTCTTGCACTTAAACCACCAGCTTACAAAATCATTTATTCAGAGTCTTATCATGTAGTATTGCTGCTTTGCTTGACTTTAACTTCTTCAATCGTTTTAAAGAAAAAATTTTACTGCTACTATTTTGATGCTTTAATCGCTGGCTAAGAAAACACGAAACGGCTCAAATGGAAACTCAGTTGTAAAATTTTATAAGTGTTTAAGTTATATAAGTATTTACTGTATGTATCGTTCTACCATAGATACACAAAGGAAATCAGGCCGATTTGTATTGAGGGCCATTATAACATTCCGGCAAATGCAACATTTTTGATAGCCGGCTGGGGCAAAACGGAGGATCGCAGTCGCAGTGAAGTCCTGATGCGGACCACCATTCAAAACAGGCGTCCACAAGTATGCATGGGGGAATTCACGAACGTGGACTTCGATCCCAGGTCCCAAATATGTGCCGGTGGACTGGACGGCAATGACACCTGTTCTGGCGATTCCGGCGCTCCGTTGATGATGTTCATCGGACATGGTTTCGACCAGGTCGTTTATCAAGTCGGTATAACCTCCTATGGAAGACCATATTGCGGATATAGGTGGCCAGCTTTTTACACAAAAATTAGTGCATATTTTAACTGGATAAGATTGAATATAAGGGATTAAAGTTGATGTTTGTGACCATTTTAGAGTACTTCGATAGTACTATTTACAATTCATATTATTGTAAATCAATTAAATAACCAAACTTATCTGTTTCTAACTAACAAATACCACGGAAAAAAATTTAAAGCTCTCAGTGGCTTGTGTTCCGGATAAGAGATAACCATTATGAAAAATTATCAATAAATGCCATCCTACTTAATGCTTTTTAGCCTTCCGGCATGAGTAAGATACAGCACATAAATGTGATTAGTTTTATTTGTCAAAAGAACTCGTAAAATATACACAAATACACGCAGGTAAATACTGTTACGATTACAAGAAACCCCACAACATGCAAATGACGATAAATTACAATAGTGACTGTTGACAGAGACATCGAGAGAAAGAGATAGGCTGTCGCCGGGGGAAAGGGGGCGGGGTGTTCCGGCGTCGGTGGCCAAAAGGAACCAGTCGGCCGCATCGGATCCTCCGCCTCGCCAGCGACCAGCGATTAGTGGTTGGCATAGAAGCCATTGCCCGAGTTCCCCATGAACTCCGTCCAGCGCTGGGCCTCCAAGGGGTCCAGTTCCGAGCAGACCTCGCCCGGCTGCAGGGAGCGGCAGGTGCACGTGATCCCGATGCGGGTCACCACCAGCTGCGACTCGAACTTGGGCAGGGCCGGCTCCGCGTCCACCAGGCGCTCGCTGAGGCACTGCTTCAGGAACTGTTTGCGCAGCACGCGCAGGTTGTCGATGGTGTAGCCTGCAAGTGGTCAATAACAAATTAGTGGAGCTCGATGGAAGAATATACTAGGAAACATATTGTGTGTTAATTGAACCAGCTATACTTTAAAGCCAAAAATATGAAACGAAATAGCATTAATCTCAGTCGAATTGTAATGCTAATCTTTCTAAACTTACTATTTCTAGTATTTATTTATATAAGAAACATTTTTATGCTATTAGTACAATAAAAACTTAAAAACTTAAACCTAAGTTAATATAAGATTTTCGCATCGCTTCCAGTGCATGATGTATCATTTAGAAATGGGTCACTCTTAAAAAATTTTAGATAATGAGTTGCTACTAAAAAATCAAGCTGATATGAACGGGTTGCTAGTCAGTGCTCGTCTGAGAATTAGATGGAGCTAAAACCAAGCGATTATCAGAAATGTAAGCTTTAGAGCGCCGAAACTTTAGTGCTCTTGCACTTAAACCACTAGCTCACAAAATCATTTATTTAAAGTCTTATTAAGTTATAGTATTGCTGCTTTGCTTGACTTTAACTTCCTCAATCGTTTTAAAAAAAACGTTAATGTTACTGCTACTATTTATATGCTTTAATCGCTGGCTAAGAAAACACAAAACGGCTCAAATGGAAACTCAGATGGTGTAAACAGTTTCTGTTTATAAAACTTGATTAATATTTCTAGTATTTATTTATATAAGAAACATTTTTATGCTATTAGTATAATAAAAAACTTGTTAACTTAATATAAGATTTTCGCATCGCTCCAGTGCATGATGTCTCATTAAAAAAACACTTTGTGTTTTTAGTCACTCTTAAAAAATTTTAGATAATGACTTGTTGAGCTACTAAATACGAATAAAATTTAAGATGACGTCAAGCTGATGTGAACGGGTTGCTAAATAATTTTTAAAGTGGCCACTACTCATATCATCTTGATCTTCTAATTTAGAACTCAATAATATTACAGAAATCTTAAAATGTGATTTTAATTTTATAGTATACCTTTAGGGTGAAATGGTTTCCAGACTACTCACTTTTATAGGCGCTGATCTTCTCCTCGACGCAGCTGAGGTCCTGCGGCGAGAAGAGTGGTGGATAGGCCTCCGATTCGCGGATGTTGAGGACGAAGGCGAAGTCCAGCGAGGAGGTGGCGTTGCCCAGGGCCTTCAGCAAGACGCCGGTGGAGGAGATGGAAGCCAGGTACCAGTCTGCTGTCCCGAGGGACTCCTCTCCACCGGCGGCATCGTCGCTGGCCGCTGTAGTCGCACCGGCGGCACTCTCGCGTCTCTTGCGACGCCTCCTTTGCTTCTTATTGGCCTCCTGGGCGTCGGCAGCCTGCTCCCGCGCCTCGTTGTCCAGCTCCAGGTCCCACAGGCTCAGCGGTGACTGCGCGGACATGGGCTGCCCGGTGGTGCTGGGCGTGGTTTGGGTAGTGGTGGTGCTGATGCCTCTGCCCTCGAGGAACCCGCTCCGCACATCGCGACTTCCGGCGCTGGGGTACTTGGAGCGCAGGTGGATGGGCCGGTCACTCTGCTCCAAGAGCGGCGGCACCTCGTCGTTGTACACCAGTTCGTACTCCTCCGGCAGGCGAAGCGGATTCCCATTCTCCGGCGACAGCGGCAGGATGTCGTAGTCCTTCTGCGGAAGGAGGAGAAGCGCTTAGATTACTGATTTATATTTAAACTAAAAAAAATAATAGTTTACCAAAGTTAGGTATTGAAACAGATAAGGAACATAAACTTACAAAAATATATCTATCTGAGATATTTTAAAAAATTTAACGATAATTGAATTAAAATAAAGTGAAATTGCATTCCTTACATGTTCTAATCTTCATTATTTTGCTTTTTTGTTTTTTTTTCAAATATTTGGTTCAAACTAAACTTTTTTTTTCAATTTGTTCTTAATTGGTTGTATAACCAAGTATTTTGACAAGTTTAGTCATACTTTGGATTTCCATAACTGTATTATAATTTAGTCATTGTCATTTAATATTTTAAATAGTTTATGGTATATGGTTATAGTTCATAATTTGTTTAAAAAAGCATACCATTTCTTTTAACCTCCATAATTGTATCGCAAATAAGAAAGAATACCACTTACAAACTCCTTGAATCCTTCCTTGGGGTAACCACCTGCCATTCCGAAGCTGGCGGGCAGCTCGTTGTCAGCTCCCTGGGGCAGAAGTTCCTGGAGCTGCTGCTCCATCAGTGGATTGTGTCGGTGGTGGCCCTTAGGTCGCCTGGCCGGCTGCTCCGTTCCGCTGCCGATGGCGTTTCCATTATCCAGTCCCGAACCGGCGGCCACCTGGCGGAGTAGCTGCTCCCGATTCCCAGCCAGGAGCTTCTTGAGCAGCTTGGGGTGCTTCAGCGGCGACTTTTTCCCAGCCGCCGCCGGTCTCTGTGTGCGATTCAGCTGCACCTCCAGGTCGTCGGTGCTGAAGAGGACCGCGCCCGGTGGCTCGATGTGCCTGGCGATGGCGTAGAGCTTCAGCACCGTGGACTCGTTGTACCGCAGGCGGCAGGTGTCCGCCCTGGCCTGGAGAATGATGTCACTGTCCGGGACGAATTCGTAGGCATCCCGGGCATCCGGACGGTTGCGGCACTGCAGCTGCCAGTGGAGGAAGAAGTCGCCGCCGAAGCTCTGCGAGATGGAGACCCCTCCGAGCAGACTGTTCGCTCCACCCGCATCCGTCATCATGGCGTCCAGCAGTGGCTGTCCATTCCGTCCATTGAGGATGGTCGTTTGCGAGTAGTAGTAGACCGGGAAGCCGGGTCCCGTGTTGTACTTCACCATGAAATCGGTGACGTTGTCGTGATCAAATAGACCGGGAACAATGGCACTGACGCACTCGCTGGCGGGGAATGTGTAGTTCCAAAGCATCGTGTAGTTGGCTCCGTCGAAGGCGAGGACACTCCGGTTGAAGGCCGCGACGACCACGTCCGAGATGCCATCGCCATTGAGGTCGGTGAGCACGGCGGGCACCATGAGCCCCGATCCCTGTTGCCGGTGCAGCGGGGTGAAGTGCTTCTCGCTGGTGTGCGCCATCAGGGAGTGGAGGCGCAGGGAGTAGATGCCACCTGGGGTGTTCTGACCCCCGGTGACGATTAGGAGCAGCTCCGTTCCGTCCGCCTGCGTGAGCAGCTGGATCGGCACGAACATCTCCTCGCGATACGGCGTGGGAATGCTCCGGATCACCTTGCCCGTCTTCCCCGAGATCAGCTTTATGTGCCCCGCCTTCGACTCCTCCCGCTCCTCCAGATGGGCGGCTATTATCTCCGGAACGGAGTCGCCGTCCAGGTCGCGCAGCACGTTGATCGTGTACAGGTCCATCACGATGGGGGAGTTCGTCTCCACCTCCAGTTCCCGGAAGCGCCAGATTATGGAGCCAGTGCGGCCATTAATGGCATAGATCATCTGTTTCGGGGGAAAAATAAATTAAATTATATAGGGGATAGTTGGTAATAATAATAAAGCAATGAAATCAATTCTTGACTATTCCGTGTTTTTTCCTCCTTAAATTCTTGGAGCCATTAGATCAGTAAGATTATTTAAACAAAAATTAAATACCCCATGTATACAAATAAACTATACTTATTTTATACTTTCCGAGTAAAATGTGTAATGTGCCCAATGTGTTATTTACGTTAATAAAAATGTACAAAATTGTATTACTTTGAAACTGACTACCAAATACAGGATATGATATTAATAGAAGAATATTGTATAGTATCTGAATCTAATAAACAAACAAAATGAAGTTATAGAAAACAAACAAACACCTTTAAGACACTTAGTTTTTAGTGATCTACAAAAAGATCCAAAAATACATGTAAGCCATTCTTTCTTTAGGCATCTGTAATAACTACATTCTCTCAGTTTTTCCCCCCAAGAATTTCCGATATGCAAACAGTGTACTACTAAGTATTTAGCTTACCCCCAATCTTCCAGCTGCCACGCAATCGGTGCCCCCGTCGCCGTCCACATCCGCGTTGCAGTGCAGCGAGAAGACGTTGGCGACGCTCCACGACTGCCACAGGATGGATCCGTCGATGCCATTGAGAGCCACCACGCCGCCCTCGCAGGGAACCTCCTCGCCCTGCTGGGCGGACTGGCAGCGCGGCAGGAGAATGCCCTCGTAGTGGATGTTGTCGTCCACGCCGTAGCCGAAGACCACGTCCCGGATGCCGTCGCCGTTCAGGTCGGCCGCTCGCAGCGGACTCTCGCTGTTCATCCGCGCCAGGCTGCGACTCCAGCGCTTCTGGACACTGATCTGGGTGCAGGGCACGAACTCGCCGCCTTGGGAGCTGCCGTAGCTGATGCGGCCGCCGGCGGAGGAGATGGCCGCCAGCTGGGCGGGATCGGGGCGCCACCAGTGACGGATGCGCTGCAGCGGCAGCGGGAAGAGCGTCAGCATGAGCGCCGCCAGGCTGAGCAGGGCGCAGAGTACCGTTAGGGCGGCCAAGGCGTAGCAGAAGGGCTCGCAGCAGCGACAGCAGCGCCGCCTGCGGTGCTGCTTCATAATGGGCGTGGATCCCGATCCCGATCCAGGTCCGGATCCGGATCCGGGACTATGTTTGCGACGCGGCGCCATCAGCGGCCGCTTCAGGCCCTGCTCCTCGCTGCGCTGTGAGATACAAAACCAGGTTAAAAAACAGGTTAGATGATTCAGAATCACGCTCATAAATTCAATAAAATTATTATGTTTACTGAACATTTCAGTAAAAATTAGTTCTCCTTTTAAAAAATAGAAATTCAAAACATTTCTTTTGATCCAACAGATCTTCATTGCGTAAACAAAAATTCATATTATTAATCTATTTGTCTTTGCACATAAGATTTTTTATACATTGTATAATATATCAACTTGTACTGTTTTATATATTTTTTTTGTATAATTATATGTATATAATATTAATATACCGAATAAATTGTTGTATACATAAGTATTGGACATTCATTATGGCAATTTTCAAACACTCTAAGCACACTCCAATTAAATTCCAGCTAACACTTTTTGCCATCAAAAAATAAACTATTTTTAAATAAAATTTTATATCAATACCTATCCAAATCTATCTAAAAAAATGCAAGAGGAAAAAAAGTTTTTTTTTTGGATCCTTTTGTATTAACGAAGTTCATTTTCTTACAGTGTAGTTTTTATCACAAGACAAACAAAAGAAAAATAATCCATTGCTGGGAATGATAACTTTTTCAAGCTTGACATATGGCAACGTAAGAATTCCCCAACAGAATCTTTTGGCAAAAAACCAACACATTCAGTGGGAAAAACACTAGGGATAATTGAATTACTCAAACTTAAAATTTATTTATGTGTACACTTGAAATCGAAGACGATGTCCAGCCATTTTGGGGAGTGAATACACTGCACTTTGAGATTGCTCAATAGTTTTCTGGTTTCCAGTCCGGATATTTACCTTTGCCGACCTGGCATCCTTGATGAACACCTCGTCCTCGACATCATCGCTGACATCCTCGTCGATGGACGAGTCCCGTATGGCAATCCTCTTGGAGGGCACATATGGTCGCAGTTTCATCATCGTTCGTTTGGGGTCCGCTGGTGCGGTTGCACCACCAAGCTGCGCCTGCAGGAAAGCCTCTGATTTTAGCCGCTCGAAGGATGCCCCGCGGTTCCTTTAAAGCATTCTGTGGCTCCCGTTTTTCCGTGCAACTCCAATTGCAGCGATGCGCGTCCGGTGATTGTGTAAAAATCAATAGCGACGTCACGGTTTCGCGCTCAGCTGTCTGCGATTGCGGAGCATGCGCCCTGGTGGCTCCGCATTGCCACCACCCGAACCACCACCCACAGGCGATAACGCCACGTGTTGGCCAGCGGCTACAGGTTTGTTTGTCAACAATGTGGCGACCCACCTGGCCATCACTCTCTCTCTCTCTCCCTATCTCTCTCTCTCTCTCTCTCTCTCTCTGCCGTTTTTTGGCTCTCTCCTGTCTCATCTGTTGCTGGACAGAAAGCCACCACCCAGTGCCACCCTTCAACCACAGCCTACCACCCACCACCCACAAAGCCATTCCCTTTCGGAAACTCCCTGATTAGCTTCTCCCCAGCGGTTCAATGTCCTCGCTTTGAGGCTTTTCATGAATGAAGTGGGTGGAGTTGGGATGCGTGGGTGGCGAAGGGCGGTGGGGTTGAGGGTGGGGCAACGGGAGTTCCATTCACCGAACTTCCGCGTGCCGCCAATGTGGGTCACATCTTCTGTAGGACACTGTGTGGTTTTCCCCCGCTCGCCAGGGCTGGCGATTAATATTTAATGGCATTTTGTCTGCCTTTCAGCGGCAGGAAGTGAAATTTAAAGATGTTATTCACTGATACATCAGCCTTCGATTAAAGCTAATTTAATGCTGCCTCTCATAAAAAGTATCTACCAACACCTAATATATGTCAGCATATATAATAAGATTTAATTAAGGCTGCGGTAATAGTTTAAATATATAATAAAGCCAATTTAACTCTTTGTTCCTATTTGATTAACATAAAATAATTCAAATCCTTCAAGCTTATTAATTAACAATGAAGCCAAAAAATATTTTTTAATTACCTCTATTATAAGAACTAGATCATCTCCAAGTTCCGTTGGCAGGCCAACACTCCAACTGACGCTCATCTCGAAAGATTGCTAATAACTTCATCCGAAGAAACAAATCCAAGCCTAATAACTTTTTAACCTTGGCTCGCTTGACGTCACAGTCATTTACTTGCTCTGTGATTCAGATGGCAACATGCATTTGCCTTAACAAATTTTCGTTTCTGTATATATTTTTCTCGTAATTTGTTTTACAAAATTTTCTATGACGTAGCGCGCTTGTCAAAAGCCAAACTGAAGTGAAAGGTTCCCCAGTTTGTTTCGCCCCCTTCTAAAGTATTCATATTGAAAGTACGCCAAAACCTTTGCGAATTTGCCATAGCCATCGCCGTGGTGCTGCCCTCAGCAGAAACTTAAGAGCACCACTTAGTGGTGCTGGGGTTGGATGGGGTAAGTGGTGTCTGCTGGGGAACAGGAGCACTCAGAACTGGTCCAAGCTCGACTGCATTCGAATAAACTATAGAAAAATCAGCGGCTTTTTATAGCTGCCCCATCAATAGTGAGGAGGAAAAGGGGGAGGGGGATGGTGGTTGAGGACGAGGTGTGGTGGCTGCCTAAGTGTGCTATTATCGCATCAGAGATAATTTAATAACGACGAGTCCTCTTCCTCGGTCGGAGGCCAGAAAGGATGTGTTGAATCCGCTCAAGAGTGTTGCGGCAGGGCGTTGAGTAGTGCTTGCTGTGGTGGGCGTGGCAAGTCGGGGGAGACACACAAAACCGACATGTATATTAGGGGAACCACATCTGTGCAATGTGGGTGGTGACAAACGCCTCAAGGTCGCCAGGAATTCAAAAGAGGAACGTGTTTCTTTTTTATAATTTTTCTGTCTACAAAATAAGCGCTAAAATAAGCTGTAAGTTAATTGGTACAACCCATAAATGTAATTAAAACGTTAACTGTACTTTATTGTAAACTATTGTTTTACAAAGGTTGTTTTTACTTTTTGCAATCGTGTCATGTAATACATTCTACTTTAAAGTATTTAACGATTGATTTTACAAATTTATGCAGCATACAAATGGTAAGCGCTTCACATTATTTATTACTTCCGACCTCACTAAATTGTAATTTTTTATATGAAAGGTATTTTTTTGATGAAGTATTAAAATGATATAAATTAAATTAAATTTATGATATCGACTTATCCTCGTTTTCCCTATTTTTTCTATATTGCTCACTAGCCTTTAAATTCTGATTTCCAGTTTGTTCTTCAAACCGATTATTGAATTCCCAAAGTGCTTTTGCACCTCATTAAACAGTTTGGCTCCGGATTTTTTTTCCTCGTCATTGTTGTTCCAATTGGCTCACTCCAGGGGACGTCAGCAGAGAAATCACAGGATTATCGTAGTGCTGCATTCATTAGCCAGGATCCCCAGGAGTTACACTCCCCTCGTCAATGCCACTGGCCCCAACTTTTGATGCGACAAATGCCACTTCTGGGGCCACTTGACAACTTGGGGAGAACTTGTTAAGGGGAGACTAACAAGCGAATTGATTGAAAAATGCTTAAAACTAAGGAGTCCAAGTGTGGACAAATACAATCAGAAAACAACTGCGACATATTCACGACGTTTCCTACCCAAATTAAAGATGTCAAATCGATAGACATATGTCGCATCCTGCCGTGATGAGAATTGAAGGTCCTGCCCTCCACATCTGGCAATGCATCATGAATTTCTGGGCAAGAAGGGTGGGATGACAACAATGTCGATGACGACAGAGCCAAGCAGATTATGTGGCAAAGGAGGCAATGCCAAAGCACTCGAGGAAATTATGTTAAGTGACAAACACACAGGCCCATGGCGTTGCAGCCCTGGTTGGGGAAAGGATATTTGCGTGTCCTATATATAGGCGCATATACAAACAAGCATAGCGCCAATAGTTCCTTGTTCTCCCAATATTAAAGTCTTCGCTTCTGGCTGCTTTCACTTTTGTTTTTCCCTCCAATCGGAAAAGGACTCACGCACACGTACAGACACTTATACCAACATTGCATCAAGCATCCTGCATCCTTCGTTGGTGAACTTTTCGTTCGTGCCTGGCAACGTTTTAAATTCAAATCTGTTCGCCTCCAACTGTCAGTTGTCAGCGAAAGTTCGAACAGTTTAGACGTTTAAAACGGAAGGAATCCAATCTTATATACAACCCAGTCAGCTATTAAATGTTAAAGTGTGCTAAATATTTAATGGAAATTATAATACATTTTTGACACCGCAGTGAACGTTTTAAAATATTTCGAAATGTTTACAAACCGTGGTGTTTCTTAAAAATGTCATCAGGGGCGTCAAGCTGATGGTTATGTAATCTCTGTGAAGATTCCAGAAATCCAACAGAAATTTTTCGCATCAAATACCAAACGACAGTGTCTTTGCCAAAAGAAAAGTTATTTCTGTATTCGTCACTAAGCTGTGTAAGACTTTAAGATTTTTTATTCTAATTTGTGTTCAGATTTTTAGGAGGAACTTAAACTATAAACGCAATTAATGTTTTAAATACGATCGTCAAATTTGTTTCCTGCTTTTAAAGTTTTTTAGATTTTGCGAAAGATTAACTTTAAATTTAAAAATTGCAACATTTTCAAAAACCTTACAAGTACGATTTATTCTTTATAAATTTTAGTAATACATTTTAGGCTAATAAAGAAATTACTGACTCTTCAAATTAAAAAATCTCATTTTAACATTTTATACAGTTCATTAAAAAAAGTATTCTTTTGTTTTAAAGTATGTAATATTTAGACAGGAGAATTATCGACCCCATAAAGTATTTAGACATTCTTGAACAGGAATATTTGTTGAGTAGATCTAGATATATCCGCCTGCATATCCGTTTTTTCGACAGGTTTAAAAATAGTATTACGGTTTAAAAATGGTAACCGTTGTATTGATTAATATTTTAAGTATATTCGGTATATTAAAAATATATTACAAATACAAAAAATGCCGAAAAAATATTCCCATTTTAATAATAAAATTCGAATTAAAAAATTGGTCAAGCTCTCGTTATGTCAATTAAAATATATTTAATTCTTTTTAAAACTTCTAAAATTATGAATAATTAAATGGGGCGAAGCTTATTAATAGGTTCATTATTTAAAATCGAAAATTCTTTAAGTTGTCCCAATTTCGCAGAAAAGAAAGCAAACCTCAGACTTGCGCCGCGCCGAGTGCCGTGGCAATTGTCCTTGTCTAATGGGGGCTCTGCAGCATTGGCAGGATTCTTTCATTGCCTGCTTTCTTCGCCGCGTTACTCGTGTAATACTCGATGGGAAGAGGGGGCGGTTAAAGGGATAGGGGAAGGGGCGTGGCATCCTCGCGAGCGCATAAAAAGGCGCATGGGCCACTTAAGGCACGACCGCGCCCACCGCACACCGCCCACCGCCCACATTCGGCCCCTTCGAGTGGCTTTAATTGTGAATTAAGACGGTATTGTGCAGCGGGTGACTAGTACAACTGCAGGTACCGCTGTCTGTGTCCTGCGGCCAGGGTTGCCATCCAGCATTTGCTCGGACTGAACGCCTGGCAATGCAATGCCGAGGCTATCCTTTGTCGAAGGCAACTGCCTCTTTGTCTCGGACCCCATTTTATTTACTTGGTTAAGCGGCATAATTGTTGCTATTTTCGTGCCAATCGCTCTCGATGCATTGTCAATGCCAGGGCGAACCCTTCGGAATCCTTTGATCCTTTCCACCTGGTGGCAAGGTCGCCGAACAGACTGGCAAATCGCCTCAAGTTGTTTGCATCGCCGTCGACCTTTTCTCACATACTGGGCAGGAAGAACCCTGAAAGTAGTACTTGTTCATATTGAAAACAGGCTTCAGGAAGGAATCGGGGAATTCCGATCAAGGAAACGGCTTATTAATTGAATTTTCTGTACTGTCCTTTCTCTAATTTTCATACATTGTAAATAAAAAATACCTAAAATTTATTTCTTAAAGTGAGACTATGTACATACTGGCTTAAAGTATTTATGAAAAATAATATTTTTAAAATTTTATTAACGCTTAAAAATGTTTATAATTGTTATAAGTTCTAATTCAGTTTTTTCATTATTTTGGAAGTATTTTATTCTTGAATATTGAATAACAAGTAGTGTTTTTTAGATGATAAATATTTTTGACAAACCTTTTTTTTCATGTGATACAGGAAGAGCTCAGTTAGGAATGGTGGTTCAAATAATTATTCTGGTGATCTGCACCATCTGCCTGAAGCACTATGCGAAAGCGGAGTTTCAGTGAGTAAAGAAAACGGAAACTTAAACTCGAATCAAATCTCGAACTTCCCCTAAAACCAGACAAAGTCTGGCCATCACCGACATCCTTCCCGAGGACATCAAGCGTTATGACAAGATGAGACCGCCCAAGAAGGAGGGTCAGCCCACGATAGTCTACTTCCATGTGACGGTGATGGGTCTGGACTCCATCGACGAGAACTCGATGACCTATGTGGCGGATGTGTTCTTCGCTCAGACCTGGAAAGACCACCGCCTGCGATTGCCGGAGAATATGACGCAGGAGTACCGATTGCTGGAGGTGGACTGGCTGAAGAACATGTGGCGACCGGATTCGTTCTTCAAAAACGCCAAGTCGGTGACCTTTCAGACGATGACCATACCCAATCACTACATGTGGTTGTACAAGGACAAGACGATACTCTATATGGTTAAGCTGACACTGAAGTTATCCTGCATTATGAACTTTGCCATTTATCCGCACGACACGCAGGAGTGCAAGTTGCAAATGGAGAGCTGTAAGAACTTTGTTAGGATTTTTAACCAGTTTAGTAATTATTAAAGATATCCTCTATTTAGTGTCCCACACCACGGATGATTTAATATTCCAGTGGGATCCCACTACGCCTTTGGTGGTGGATGAGAACATAGAGTTGCCTCAGGTGGCCCTTATTCGCAATGAGACGGCGGACTGCACCCAGGTTTACTCCACGGGCAACTTTACCTGCCTCGAAGTGGTCTTCACCCTGAAGCGTCGCTTGGTTTACTATGTCTTCAACACCTACATTCCCACCTGCATGATTGTGATCATGTCCTGGGTGTCTTTCTGGATCAAGCCGGAGGCGGCTCCAGCCCGCGTGACCTTGGGGGTAACCTCACTGCTCACTTTATCCACGCAACACGCCAAATCGCAGTCGTCCTTGCCACCGGTTTCCTATTTAAAGGCCGTGGACGCCTTCATGTCCGTCTGCACGGTGTTCGTGTTCATGGCCCTCATGGAGTACTGTCTGATTAACATCGTCCTCAGTGACACGCCCATTCCGAAGCCAATGGCCTATCCGCCCAAGCCGGTGGCGGGCGACGGGCCCAAAAAGGAGGGCGAGGGGCCTCCCCCGGTGGCAGCAACTCAGTGGCCAGCAAGCCGCAGCAGGCCACCATGTTGCCACTGGCCGACGAGAAGATCGAGAAGATTGAAAAGATTTTCGACGAGATGACCAAGAACAGGAGGGTAAGTGAACCAAACATATCAAGTTTTTCAACAGTTTACCTAAATTGAGTGCAAAGTTTTTCTTGAAGCTCAATTTAAGATCAAATATATATTCTTTCTGCTAATTAAGAGAGCTTAAAATTTGATTTAATAAAAGAATATGATGAGATACTTAAAATTGATACTTAAAAGTAAACATTATTATGAATTTATTTTGAGGGTTGGTAGTACTTTTGAGCATTATATTTATTAAGCCAATATTTCTATTATATTTCTATTATTGCCAAAAGTTTAATTATGCACAAATGACTTATCTTATATATATATTCTTAATAAGTTCTGGTTATATTTTTTGAAAACTCTTTTTGCTTTATAACTCTTAAAGAGAAAGTAAGTCAAGCTTTAGCACTTTTTTTTCAAACTACCTTTGAACATAAAAATTTACATTCTTTTACTCCACCCGGGAGCTTAGAGCCTCTACAATTTCTTGCAGAGGATTCACTATCATAGATTTTCGATCGTACCGGTGATAAGCCAGTAGCGACTTATCCTAGCGGTGGGGTTGCCACCTGGCGCCATCTAGGAGTGACGAAAGTTTTTTTTTTTATTGTTGGGTCCATAGTAACGTGGACGAGGGCGTGTGCGGGTCCGGGGAGAACATAAACACGGTTTAAGAACTTGTGAAAAAACATTTTTAAAAACACTTTGTAAAACTTTGAATAATATCTTAGATTGTGACCACAACCCGGCGCGTGGTGCGTCCGCCGCTGGACGCCGATGGCCCTTGGATTCCGCGACAGGAGTCGCGCATCATTTTGACCCCGACGATTGCGCCGCCGCCACCGCCTCCGCCGCCGGCGGCACCGGAACCGGAACTCCCGAAGCCGAAGCTGACCCCCGCCCAAGAGCGACTCAAGCGGGCCATCTACATCGACCGCTCCTCGCGCGTCCTCTTCCCCGCCCTCTTCGCCAGCCTGAACGGCATCTACTGGTGTGTGTTCTACGAGTATCTGTAAGATTCCCACTTCCGAGTCCTGCCCTGTACATACTTACTTTCGCTGGCCCTCTCTGGCGCTCCATCCGAGTGTTAAACGTTGATTGTTCGCATATATCGAAACGTATATCGCAAATTTACTCTTAAGCTTTCACGCACAAGCTTTAAGTCAATGAATTTTAAACATAGATGATTGTTGAACCACAAAACAGAAACAGAAAAAGAAACTGAAATAGAAACAGAAAGGAAGGATCTGAGGAGAACACAGGACAAATTACAAATTATCAATTCAATTCCTAAAATGCTTAAAGTTAATCAAGTGACGTAGTAGCTGATGTAGATTAAGTGAATTGTAATTTAATGTCTCAAACAAATGCTTTTAATTGTAAATAAATAGAGAATCCATTTAAAAGATTGTTATTGGAGGCGGATTGGGTAAGAATTGGAAAATGTTTACTATATTTATAGTGGAATATGGTTAAAAAAATATTTTTGTGAAGAAAGGATTTAAAAATAAGCTTAAAAGCTTACATTACTGATGAAAGGTAACTTTTGGTTGAATTATTTGTACCAAAACCGTTGGCAGGTAAAAAGCTTTTATAGTAAAAAAGCTAAAAGAAAGCTCTAAAAAGGGATACATTTTGGAGGTGCTACTTTAGCCAACTGTAAGTAACCCTATCCAGTATCTTCGTATCTTCGCATAATAATTTCTAAGTCGTTTGGCAAGACCATTCATTTTTTAACACCTTTTTCTTCTGCTTCTTGTGCACCGGCATTTATAAGTTTATTTCGCGCTGCTTTTTCTTTTAAAGGTGCCAACATTGGATAGAACAATGGAACTCGCTCGGTTTTCTACCGTTCGCAGTTGTCAAACAGCCGCAGGGCGAAGAGGAATAGACTTATGAATACCCAATTAATTATGTTGGTCACACGCTCCACACTTTTGCCTTTTCACGGCCGTTAGTGACGCCTGAGCAAAAACTAAGATAGGGTTAAAAGAAATGAAAACAAAAATGAACCTATTGACGCAAAGATAAGATGGATTCAACCAGATTGAAGAGTTGGCAGATCTGTGCTATCTTGAATGGAAATAATAAATTAACCCCAAAGCCTTGTAATTATTAACCATCACCTTATTTCCAGTAAATTTGCTGATAATTTTTTTGGGTTTCTCCTCTCTGTCGTTCGATGATCGATCATATGTTTCTGTGTGAATATGTATGTTTGCTGCGGCTTTAACCATTTGCATTTGAAGTAGGCCAAAGAGTTCGCTTCGTTTTGGGGAAACCACAGCATGATTCACCCAAAACCACATCGAACACGAGCCCAGTACTCGATGGAGTGGATTGCATTGGCAGAGGCTTCGAGAGCGGACAAATAAACTAAGGTTGCGCAAATTCAGTTTGTTTTTTTTTCGAATTGGGGAATACCTGAGGTTGTGCGCTATGTGGGCGTGCTCAATGCAAATTGAGTTGGCCTAATGTCCGAGGGTTCAATGAGTTGGCTTTTCAAGGAACGCAAGATGGCTAAATTGGTCTAATTTTTGTATTTCTTTTTCTGATGGGTTAACACAAACATTTTCGAACGACGAAAATCCCCAATTTATGTGGCTCTCTGAGAGCTCAAAGTCTCACCTATTGCACAGACAATGCCCAAAGTCTGAAGAAAGTAAAAATCCAGCTGACAACCTCACGGCTACCGTCGCGGCTCTTAAGTTCCCCCAATTCCCCCCTTTTAAAAGCCGAAACGAAAACGAAACGAAATGCTCCATCGACAATAACAACAATAAAGGCCAAAGCTGCCTGACAACGACGCCACAAAATGTTATGTTGTTGCTGCTGGTGTGCTGGTGTGATGTTGTCTTCGGCTTTTGCAGTTTCAGTTTCAATTTCAGTCGAACTCGGGCAGCAACGGCACACGGAAGCAGGCCGCACTCCGTTCCAACTCCGAAAAAAACCCTTTAAAGGCCCGAATATAAACCGATCATAAGCCCAACTGCAATTGGACTTCGTTGTGTTAACTACCGCCAATAACACCTTGCTTAACTCGAGCGGGGAGCAAAAAGTGAAATTCGTGCACTTTTCACCGCAATTTCGCAATCGGTTCGGGGCCTAATAAAAATAAATATTACAAAATTCAATTAAAGCAATTGGCGGCTCGTAAAAGTTTACATCAAGGCTAAATTGTGGTTAAGCTAAGCCGAGATAACGAAACCGAAAAAAAAATCGTCGCCGCAGCTTAACACTTTTAACACTTTCATTTTCGTTCGGAATCGCTTTCGTTGGGTTCGTCATCGGCTTTCGTTGAGTGTGTTAAATAATAGTAAACAAAAAAGTGAACGAAACTACCACATTTTTCGGCAAATGCTCAGCGGTCTTGTGAACTGAAAACGGAAACTGCATTTTAAGTTGATGTTCGGCAAGATGCAAACGAAGCTCTTTCTGCTCTGCCTGGGTTGGTATTCAAAATAACAAAACAAGATACAATATTGGCCCCGAAATTAATAGATAATTAACCTAGTTTTGGGCATCCCGAAATTCATTTGAAGTTTTGTAACAGTTTATGATCGGCTTATGGTTAATTTGTGCTAATGTGCTGCGCAAAAAATAACAAAGGAAAACAAAAGACTTAGGCAACGAACTTGCGCATCCAACGAAAGTCTGAATGCAGCTGATGATTGGGACTCGATGTTTTTGCTTTGTTTTGTGGTCATCATCATTACTCGTGCAACGTGAGGTGGCTTGCAACTTTCTTTGCCCGCCACTGCCAATAAAGCTTCCGCTCAGTGACGTCAGAGGCAAAAACCAGCTGGCATGCAAATCACATAGATACGGACACCAAGGCCAATCGGAGATCTCCCCTGGCCCGCTGTACATATTGGTGTACGTGTTTCTTGGTATTACCGCAACGCCAGGCTTGACCATCTATTATGCAACAACAAAAAGAAAAAAAAAACTTGTCAACGCCGCTATTTGTTGGCGTTTTGGTCGTGTTGGCCGTTGCCGGTGCCAAAACTCCACTCCAGGCGAGTTTGCCGAAGGCCTGACCATGAAGTGTTCAATTTTATGTTATTTCTGCCGCTTCGGAAGTTAGTGCAGCTGCTGGTGTTTCTTTTGGATCCCCTCAGCCCCTCTGTGTGGATTAGTTGCTGGGTTTCCAGCAGCGTTGACATCTCAACTGCTTTCTTGGGGATTTTCACTTTCGTTTGCCAAGCAATTACGGGAAAATTTGTTAGCCGGGGCTTACGAAGCTCTTGGCCTTGTCTTAATTGGATTAAGTTTCAATCTTATGCCAGAAAGTTGTCTGGAAAATTAATCGATTCCTTAGTCGGATAAGTATTTGTTGTAGTCAAAAAATAATCAATAAATATTTAAATTTAATTAAAATGTGCTAAACATTTTTTTAGCTGATTTTTTGATTTTATTATATTTTTTAAAGTTCAGAAATGGTTCGAAAAAGAAACACAGATAAAATAGCGAATATATGTATTATTTTATTAAGTTTTCTTTTTCTGTAGACAGAATGTGCGACAATTTTTTGGGTCAAAATGCACAAAAGTCCGAACAACAATGAGCCGAAAAGAGAGCACGTATCCATAGCAAATGTGCTTAGTCGGTCTAGGGCCTCCGGGGCATTCACTTTTCCCAAGAAATCATTTCTATATAAGCCCTATAATTGGCCAATATTTCATTGTGTTGGGGTGCGCAGCAACAAAATAAAGCATTGCCATTTGGTATGGGCAATTTTATTCCAAGTGAAAGTGGCAAAGTTGCAGTGCACACCTCGAAAAATGTTAATGAGCCGCCTTCGAATCTGGCATAAAAGCAAAACAAGAAAATCAAAATAAAGCAGCAAAAAGGCGAAATAAAACCGAAACTGTAGCAGCTTAACCCAAATCACTGCAAGATAATCAATTTCATTTTCCTGCGCTGCGAGGTGAAATCTTTTAGCGACCTTGAGGCGTGTTAACTTACATAAAGAATCACCCGGGAATAAATTCCTCTTGTGGCAGATGTTCCCCACCAAAAATTGTCAAGTCATTAAGCAAACGAAGGCAAGCCCTCCAAAAAACCCAAGCAATCCAAGCCCAACGAGGTGACATTATGTCACGGCAGTCGAGCAAAGTAAACTGAAAACTAAATAAACATTAAACGGTTCAGTTGAACGACGACATACTTTCTCATTTAAGGGACAAGGGAGGTGGGGGAGGTAAGCAGATGCGTAATGCCAATTTGTGACATTATTCAACCGGCGACGACATCGAGAGACTTTGCATAGGTCCATTGTTGGGTTTGAAATGAGTTAGGTCAGTTAGGAGCTCGCGGATCTCCAGTGCTTCCTGCTTTTAAGTCGCATTAATACATTGTAGCGAACAGTGCGTTTCATAACTGCCAAGCGACAAATTGCAAGTGCATGAAGTAATGACAGAAAGAAATACAATCATAATGATTTTCATTTAAAAAATCAAAACAAAGTGTTGAAGAGTTATTCATGGGATAGGGTCTTGAAATACAAAATATTATAATATTTTTCATATTAAAAGCTGTACAAGAAAAAACTGTGAAGTGTTGCTCAGAGTAGAATTTTTTAAATGTAATTATAATAATTTTTGTTTGATTAAAATGCAAATTTATGAATGAATTGGTTTTTGTCTGAATTCCTCTTCATAGATTTGATGCATAATATTTTATTTTTGTTTATATAAATTTAATATTCTAATGCATTAAGCTATCTTAAAATACCCCAGTTGATTGAATAATATTGGTATTGGCCGAAAATTGTATAATTTAAGTATTACCTGATTTTACTTTTGGTAAAATACATGCCTATTTTTTGTCTACTTTGCAGTCATCTCTGTGGGATCATTTGTGCCCGCTGAAGGCCAATCAGGTGACGCCAACGATGAGGAGCAGCCTCTCCATCTGACCAACGACGGTAAGTGTGATCAATATGCGGTTCGCTGTGCACGGACATTCATAACTTTAACCCTTAAGGCAGCGTCTTTCTTTCAGCCGCATCTGCACGACCGCCGACTGGGTCGCCAGCTGGATGAGGACCTGGGTCTGAGCCAGAGTTCCACCGGGAGTGGCAGCAGCAGCAGTCAGTCTAGTTCCACCTACGAGGATGAGGACGATGTCGAGGGGTCCAGCGAGTACTACGATAGCGACGAGGAGCAGACGGAAGGCAGCAACGAATCCCTGCCCAGATTGCTCTCGCAATCCACATTCAATCGCATCTCGGAAACCTTGGGAGCCCTCAACCATGTGGGTCACATGCTGGTGGACATAACGCGCGGTGGACAGGATCAGGCCAAAACAGAGGGCCTTGAGAAGAGCGAAGATAAGAGCCAACCTGATAGTTCCTCCGCCTCAACTTCAAGTGGTTCCAGCACTACAGAAGTTTCCCCTTCTTCTGGTTCCTCCCCCCAAGGAAAATCGGAACCACTTCCCGGAGTCTCAGATAAACTTTTGGACCCCCTTCCCATAACACTCTCTGCCAATAGTTTACTGCCAGCTGGCAAGCCTGCTAATCTAAGTGTTATCCAAGTGGCCACTAAAAGAATCGGAGTGGATGACTCCTCTCCCATGTTTGTGGAGAACAAGGAGGTTAAGCTGAAGAAGAAAAAGAAGAAGAACAAGAACAAGCAAAAGGTGAAGAAGCCCAGTGAAGAGGGAGTCCAGAACCCTTCAGTCCAAGGAGTCCAGCAATCCCAGCAGAAGATCAAGATACCAACCACTCCGCGCACCACAACGAGCACCACGACCACCGAAGCAGCCATTACCTTGAGTCCCTTGGATCGGATAGAGGATGGCAGTGATGAGGCAGGAACCGGCAAGGATGTGGAGAACTACTGCAAGACGCCGAGTGGAAGACGAGGACGTTGCGAGGATCTCAGCAGTTGTCCTGCTCTTCTGCTCAATCTCAGCAGCTTGCGGGAATCTCTGTGCTTTAAGAGTCTCTACGTTCCGGGAGTCTGTTGCCCCATCTCCTCTTCGTCCACTGTCTTGACCACCCAGAAACCTCTGCGGTTGACCACACGACCTACTACCACCACCAGCACCACCAAGGCCACGCAACCCACCAAGAAGAGCACAGCTCGACCCACCACGCGACCCACTTCGGGTTTGGTGCTAATTCCCCAGAAGAAACCGCCTACGTCGACGACCACCACCACAACTGAGGTTCCTCTGGAACCCGAGGGTCTGGAGGAGATCGGCAACAACATCGTGGATCCCGAGGAGTGCGGCCAGCAGGAGTACTCCACGGGCAGGATTGTGGGTGGAGTGGAGGCCCCGAATGGTCAGTGGCCTTGGATGGCGGCTATTTTCCTCCACGGACCCAAGCGCACGGAGTTCTGGTGCGGTGGATCCTTGATTGGCTCCAAATATATTCTAACAGCTGCGCATTGTACCCGAGATTCAAGACAAAAACCGTAAGCAGTAGAAGGAATAATATTGAATAATATTTTAAACTTGATTAACTTTCAGTTTCGCTGCCCGCCAGTTTACAGTAAGGTTGGGCGACATCGATCTCTCCACGGATGCCGAGCCCTCTGACCCCGTGACCTTTGCTGTGAAGGAAGTGCGAACCCACGAACGGTAGGTTCCTTTATCTAAGGAGAAATTATTGTTATGTATTAAATAATATTATTTGATACTTAAAATACAGCTTCTCCCGCATTGGTTTCTACAACGATATTGCCATTCTGGTTCTGGATAAGCCCGTTAGGAAATCTAAGTATGTGATTCCCGTCTGTCTGCCAAAAGGACTTCGCATGCCGCCCAAGGAGCGCCTTCCAGGACGAAGAGCCACCGTTGTGGGTTGGGGAACCACCTATTACGGCGGCAAGGAGTCAACCAGCCAAAGGCAGGCGGAACTTCCAATTTGGCGGAATGAGGACTGCGATCGCAGCTACTTCCAGCCCATCAACGAAAACTTTATCTGCGCAGGATACTCCGATGGAGGAGTGGATGCCTGTCAGGTGAGTAGTTGGAAAGGTTTCTAGTATAATGTATGACATTTTCCTTTCAAACAGGGCGACTCTGGCGGTCCTTTGATGATGAGATATGACTCCCACTGGGTTCAACTGGGAGTGGTTTCCTTCGGCAACAAGTGTGGCGAACCTGGTTATCCAGGTAAGTTAATCTACAAATATGATTTCTGAACAATTCTTATAAACTTCCTTGACTTTTATAGGGGTCTACACACGTGTCACAGAGTATCTGGACTGGATACGCGATCACACGCGGGATTGATATACCACCTGATCCAACCGATCCACCTTAGCCGTAACTGTAGGATTAGGATTATGTACGCACTAGTCTATGTACTCTTAATGACCCCCTCCTCCTCCTCCTGTTCTATGTGCAGTGTCCTATTTATTAACCGCATACCATTGCTATGATGAATGGCATTTGTTGACTAAATTATTAAATATTTAATTTTGATAAATAAATAACTGAATGAAATCTAATGGGGAATGGCATTTGATGACTAAATTCTTAAAAATAATTATGATAGGTAAAGAACTGAATGAAAAAATGTGTTTTTGAATTTAGTGCTTAATCCGAAGTTGAATCAATTTCTGTTTTTTTTAATTTTAGTGATTAACTTGCTGTTATACATTCAAAGTTGGAATGACTATTGTTTTTAAATGGGAGTCACTGTATGCAATTTATCAAATTGCATTATCATAAGTACATTTTGCTGTAATGAATCAATTCATTTTATAAAATTTGCAATGTAAACAAAAGCAAATGATTCATCGCTATTTAAGTTAGATAAACATTAGTTGCAGTTGTAGTTCGATAAACTGTGCAAGTGTTTAGTTTTTACTTGGAGGGTAAATCAAACAAAAGGGCTATGTGTGTAATCATACAAACATTGTGGTTGCGTTAAGCTCATGATGTTCTGGAAGTTATCAATGGGGATGTGACTAACTGATAAGTTCATTCATTCGCATAGTTTTTTTTTATCACCTACGCGGAATTACTTTGTAAATAAACGTGAGCAATTGCATAAGGTTCTCTCTCTCCTTTCGCCGGTTCCCTTGTTCTCTTCAGTTACCGGTTCTCTCCAATAGTTCTCAGTTGGCAATAAGCTTTCACAGCTGACGGACGCGAAATTTTCCCTCCAACCGGCAAGTGTTTCGCATATCTCGGGAATGTTACCAATACCCCATAAAATCGACTACCTCAACGAATTCCAAGTGTTTGAATTAAAACTTGTACTTTCGGTGAAGATTTACAGCACATATAAATCATAATACTGTACAATTACCGCTGATAATCACAAATTTGACATTGGTTCTGTTTCTGTGCGTGCACTTGAAAGCTCAGTGTGTTTTGTTTATGCAAAGCTTTTTTAGACAACACGCGTGGTGAGTACATTAAGAGAAATGCTCTCTTGTGAAATGAAAGTGATTCACTTGGGAGTGGAAAGGTTCAATAAAGTCAAGGTAACTCTGTTGGGGACTTAATCGACGAGATTCAAAAAATTAGACGGCATTCTTTTTTTTTTTACTAAGTTATTGGTAAAAAATAATTTAATTTCTTCTATGTTGGGTAGTGTAAAGCTAAAGCTTTAAGTTCAAGCATACATATGTTATGTTAAAAAGCTTTATGATTCTGTTAAATTAACACCAAACATTTCAATTATTGAAAAAACTAACTACGAAAACATAAAAATGTTATTGTACAATTGTTATCAATAATGTTATGGAGTGTAGTCTTAGGTATATATTCCATGAAGATAATACTATTACAACAGGGTACCCATTATTCAGTATGATTCATCGGATTGTTAATTGGAAGCTAATTATTGGAAAGCTAATTAAATATCTGTTTTTTTTATAAAAGGCAGATGGGTAGTAAATTGCTTAAACGATAGACAGTCATTCAATATGGCCATTATTAAATAATTTATAAATTTATGTGTGCGGAATTAGTTATTTATTGAATTAGTTACCAAATGTAGCATTTATTAGCGTTATTTATATAAAAGAAAGTATGTACTATAGCACTTACCAATGTCATTATTACAAAAAAAGGAGTGGGTGCACACTTACCAACATAACTTTTAATTAATAAAATTGATTTTTAATTATTTATTAATGTGAAAACTGTTAGGAAAATATAAGCTAATATATTTGAAAAAAAAAGAATTCGGCTTGTTCCCGCCCGGGTTCGAACCGGGGACCTTGTGCGTGTGAAGCACACGTGATAACCGCTACACTACGGAAACAACTGAAGAGTTGGCGGCAAAAAACGCAACTCAAGTTTAGCTATCGATAAAGAAACGGGTCGAATATCTTCAGATCGTGGATTTCTTAAGGTGCTTTCGCCAATCACAATGAACCCATTTCTTTGCCTTGTCATTCCGCTCTTAATTAGCCTTTATTTGTCCCCTCTTCACGGAGCCCAACACAATTGGCCAGCATTTATGGTGGGAAAGGGGCGAGCGAAAGGCATTCATGGCATGCCTGAAACACGCTGACCAGATTACCAACCAAAGCGCCAAGGGCCGAAAGGTGGCTATTTTGTGGGTCGGGGAATCGGCTGGCCCACCTTTAAATAAATTCGAGCACGCTGATCCTTGATTAAAATTCCTATTGTCTGCTTTGGTCCTGCCAAGATTTCCTCTCCCTTCATTGCTCCGCTTTGTGCTTCTCCGTGAACGTAATTAATATGCAGGCCAGAACGGACTCTAACTGCTCTCTGGCACTCGTTATAATTACGCATTTAAATTGGCACAAAGGTTGAGGCCAGACTTGAACAGGGAGCGCACTTGGAAAAAAGTAGAAGAAAATAAAATACTTGAAAAACAAATTTTTAAACAAGGATAAACAAGTTGTTAATGAACATGAAACTATTGGTTTTAGGTTTTGTTTTTAAAATGCTACCAGATAATAAAACTAGTCTATGCGTTCGTTTATATATTGTATTAGAAAGTTAAGTAAAGTTGTTTAAAAGTAAGATATAAGACGGATACTTTGTTTTTGAGTAACAGTATCTGTTATTTTAGTTATTATGTGATTAAAAATCAGGCGACACCTGTAAAATTGTATTACTATTTTTCTCTCAGTGGAGACAAATCCAAAGCAAAGCTAAGAAGCGTCCACAAGGAAGCGCCTTCAACTCTTGCGTTGAATATGTATATATTAGCAAGTGTGTGGGCGGAGGTGTGTATGTGTGTGTGTGCGAAGGCGCTTATGAATGTGTTGGTGCACGGCCCCATAAATTTGGGTCAATGGGAAAAACGTCAGAATTGAGTAATTACAACATAATTTTCAATTTTGCAGTTTACGTTGTAAATTAATTTGCGGTCGACATTGGCGAAGCAGCCTCAGATCACCACCACCCCCTTTTTCACCCCCTCTTCATCCCCTTTTCACCCCCTTTCGCCGGCTTAGGCTGATTCGTGACTGGATTTTTGGGTGGGGTCTTGGGGTTACGAGCTCTGGGTTTTGGGGCTTTAGGCTTGGGTTTGGGTTCGCGTTTTGGTTCGGGTTTAGGTTTGGGTGTGGGGCATTGCACAACAATTATAGCAACAATTACTGGACAGCCGGACAACAGACGTTGGTCTTTGCGTTGTTGTGCTGTTGTGCTGTTGTATTGCGCCATAGAACATGGAAAACGTCTATTGTTGTTTTTGTCGCTCCCCAGTTGGGGGTCATCCGTCTGTTGTGCATAATTAATTTGCAGTTATTCCGACTGCCTCGCGTGTTGATACCCAGTAGGTAAAAGGCCAATGAGTCCGGCTCATTGGGTTGTCACGCAGGCCTTCTGCTTCAATTCCTTTTTACAGTCACAAAAAATTAAAGTGCTTCAAAGTAAATAATGTGTATTAGATATAAAATATTTTACTTTGTCAATTAGGTAATGCAGTATCTCATCTAATCATCTAATAATCTAATATTAATGTAATAATAGATATTAGCTTATATCAGAAATTCAATCTCCTGTTTTGTTGGGCTTTTCAAGCTAAAGCTTTTAAACTAAAAACTACCCAAGATTCACTGCCATATAAGTTAAATCTTAAACCTTAGGTTAAGGCATGACATCAACAGCAATTATTTTTGCTGTCAATAAATTTAAAAACGGCTTTGAATGGCGCAGCTGGAAATTCAAGATACCGAAGCTCGCCTTTGTGCTCTTCCTATTTTTCCGACTCCACAGCAATGTGTTTTTAAGAGTGACAAAATAGTTTTCTCATCACCATCATCAGCAGACCCCTGGGTGTTCTGTTCTCTGCACAAAACTGTTTACGATTTTACAGCTGAATGGATTTTAATTGAAAGCACCGAAAGACACGCTAGTGTCAATGACACTCGAAGGGGAAGGGGGTTTTTTGGGGGTGGGGTTTTCCGAGGAAAACTGGCAGTTGCCAGCAGCTGTGACCAGATTTCGGATCATGTGGGTTGCCGGGCTTATGCAGAGAAGTCCCCAGATGCAATAAAAAATTGACCCGAAAATGTGTAACAAATGTTGTGACATATTTTCGCAACGTTTGCTCAGCTCCCTGCCGGCCCCCAAAAAAATCTATTGCAAACGATTGTGAGAACCCGCTGCCAATGATCCTGAAAAGCGCAAACGAAAAGAGTCTGAAAGGATGCTCAGAATGGGTTTTCCCCGGCCCGGGTGAAAATCGGTTTCGGGCAACATTTGTTTTGGCCCACATATAACACAAAATGTGCAAAAATGAATATGAAAACGGGGGTGCTGGAAGTCTGTAGCTGTATATGTAACTGCAGCATGGCATGAACTTAATCTGCTGCCGATTGTTTTTCTTGCTTTTCCAGTGGGCGTGCGGGGCGGATTTGTTGCTCAATTTGTAAGCGGCGTTCTGTTGTGGAGTGGGCGTGGCAGTTTTCAGTTGGCAGGGGGCAGCTACTTTGGGAGACCCAAATACGGCGCGTTTTCAATATTGCGGCAACAATTTTCATGGATTTTACGCTTTCTTTGTTTTTGCTCTGTTTTTTGGCTTGTTTGTATTTGGCAACTCGGTAATAATGAAACCAACAACTTTGGCGGCACCAGCGGGGGTGTGTTCATTTAATTGAAAACAAGGCGTGGCAGCGGCCGCAGCACTTAAAGCGAAATTGAGAACAGATGGAATGGCAAGCGAAAAACTTACAATAATTGCCCACAACAGTTTGGAATTGAACGAAGCCACTCAAATGGACTGGAGTCCCGGCAGCTCCGGTTAACTGGGATGATTACCATCGACGGCAGATAAAGTTTCCGCGGCCACTTAATGGGTTATTTATGGAGTTTCCCTTCCGCAGTCTGAGTGCTGAAACTAATTAAATTATACAATCAAAATTTTCTTCATATTTCATATAAAAAAAAACCGTGCACTTCGCTGGGGAAAATGGGGTGAAGAAAGAGTTTTCCTCTTTTCCAGGGTCTTGTTTATGATTTCCCTTTCTTAGTGGTACGTTA